ACAAAAGAAACTTTTTCGTTTTAAAAAACTTTCTTTTCAGAAAACTTTATGTTACTCGCTTTTCTGCTTGGATAGAAAAGACCAACAGAAGCACGCATAAAGCGCTTGATTTGTGACGTTCAAAAAGAAAAAAGGAACACTCAAACACAAGAGCAATTTCAATTTACTGCTCAGAGCGCAAAAATTTAGCGAAACTGCACAAACTTTAAGCGTTATGAAAAAAACTTTAATAAAAAAAGTTCAATTAGGGCTAACGCTTCAACAAAATTCTATTTGAGTTCTATAATTTCAAAGGTTTGGCCTATTGAATTTTTGCTTATAACTACTTTGATTCTCTTGAACTTTTGAGTAAGATGGTATAAATTTTTCTTCTCGATTAACCTAAAAGTTGTGTTGTACGTTTTAACGCCTTTCTTTTCTTAAGATTTATTAACTCTAAATCTTGTTCCTATTTTAAAAACTTTGCTTGTTGGAGAAAATGAAACAACTCGGATTGATTTTGGTGCAACAATTGATTTTTGATCAAGATGTACATTTTGATAAAAGCTTAGATATAAATAGTTTTTTCTTCTTATAACACTAAAAGGTACTGTTATATCATGGTTTTTTTAAATTCTAACTTAGAAAATGAAAAATTTATTCATTTAGTGTTTTGAGAATTGAACTCCATTCCTAATACATTTAGAAGGCATCCATCCTTTACCAAATAATCAGTTTTAGTACCAAAAGTAGAGTCATAAGTTGTATTAACTATATGTATAAGTTTTTCTCCGTTAAAAGCAACGGTGTTTGATTTAGATTTATTAATCGTTAGTGGATGTAGGTTACAATGTTGTTGATAACTGTCATAATTAATAAGCGAATATACTACTCCAGTGTCTAGTCAAAATTGGGCTTCCAGACCATTATTATGATTTTTGTTTCCGACGTGATGTTGATATAAATTAATGCACAATTGTATTTTGGGTTCAGACGGAGACTAATCTAGTTCAAGTTTAAAATTCACAATCATCATCGGTATAGTTTCCTGGAACGTCATCATCGCTCAACTTGTAGATCTGGTAAGGTGAATGATAATCGTTATTTCGAGTGAAAAGTATTTTACTGTTCAACCTGTCACGCGGTTGAAAACGTTCATTGTATATTGACATATGCCTGAGTTCTTGGTAGGGGTTTTATCATTAGAAATGTTTTGTTCCAGTAAATTCACTCTTTACTGCGAAACTTAAATCTCTTTGCCATATGATCTTTTATTTGTTGCCAAGTTGCGGGTGGATTCTCAATTAGAAAATGAAATGCTTTTTGTTTTAAGTCTGGCCGGCTCAAGCATTGCACAAAGAATTCCATTTTTTTTTGCTATTCCTTGATCATCATTAAAAATTGGGTTGCGCCATCCGCAATCTACTGCGGAGCTTAATCTATGTATGTAATTTTGATAATTTCGTAAGGTTGTCTTTTTTATTTTTTCTGCTTCTTTTCGTCTTCTATATTTTCTTATCGTCAGTGATTTTATTTATAAACTGATCCCATATATAGTTCCAAGGTAATCCTGCTGCTAATCCCTGATACCATTAGGAGGCTGGACCTCTTAATGTTAAACCAAATAAATCTCTTTGTCTGTGATCATAAGCGTCTTCATCGTCACCTGGGCCTGCTGCTCTAGTACCCAAGGAAAATGCTATCTTTTTCTCTACTATCTGAAGATTTTTTTTTGCATCCTCGTTTGGGTCTGAACCTGTAAAGATTTTGAGAGCTAAGTCTGGATATTTGACTACATTTGCCATTTTGCTTGATTTTTTCTAAATTTTTGGCTAATCGTATATAAAGATTTTAATTGATTGTGTTTTCGAAAATTTTGATGATTGAATAAAATTATTTAAGTTTATGCGAGGTTTATTGGGATTGATGAATATAACTTTTGTTGGAAATATCAATAGTGCTACAGGTCAGTTGAGATTTTTTAGAGTAAAAATTTTTTCTGGGTCATTGCTGCGGGAAAGAATGGTTTACTCGTGATTTTTAGTTTTTTTTTTGGTTTGGATTTTTGGGCAAAAAGGTGACTTGAACATTTTGGATTTTGGTGATATACCATATAATTTATGTTGACTAATGTTTCAATTTGAAGTTCAAATCAAATGCTGTCGTATTTACCTGATAAAAACTAGACACATTATTCTAGCGTATTTTGTAAAAATGAACATTTATATAGATAAGCGTTAAAACTTTTTCTCAAATAAAACTTTTTGGAGATAATGAATCTTAAACCTCAAAAAATTTGTAACAAAATTTTTTTGGGTAGTTCAGATTTGCTGAAAATAACCACTTGTGGAAAATTTTTGAGTTTAAAATTGGTTGAATGCAAAAAAGATTCCCGTTATTTTACCTATAATTAACAAAACTTTGACTTGTGACGCAAAATTTTTTGTGTCTGAAGCCAATGACACCAATTCTAAAACTTACGTTTCAGCCTTAGGACCCAAGTTATTAAATTCGTTGGGTGGGTTAGTTTTCTCTAAAAAGTCAGAGTTCGAGACAAAAAACTCAATTTTTAAGTTCTGAAACCTGGAACTAAGAAAAATTACCTTTAAGACCATGTTTCTGGCTTATGGTATCCAAATTTGAGTTTTACTATTTGAATTTTTGCCGATTTAACCGAATCCGTTCACAGAAGCTTTTGATTGGAAACTATACCTTTTAATGAAATGTCTCACCCTATAACTGAAACCTAGATTGAAACCTTAAATTTTTGTTGGTTAAAATAAATTTTCTCGTGCTTAAGCTATCATATGAAAACTATTTTATTAATATTAAATGGATGTGTTTTTGTTTTAGCTTTAAATTTTGTTGTGAAATCTAATATTTTGGTGCTGAAACTAAAACTTGGTATTTGGTGGCGAGTATTTAACGTTTATAATTGGTTTCAGTGCGTTATTTTCTGGTTCATTCGGTGTATACCCAAAATGTTTCGTTAAAAATTCAATGAATTAGTAAGAATAATTAAAATTGTTTCTTCTTTTTTTGTTTTTTGTTCTTTTCTCTCCTAGTTTCAGTAAATGTACCTTTACTGATGTATAAATTAGGTTTCAGTTACGTTAAGTTGGGTGCAGAAAAAAAAGCAAGCTTAGGAAAATTGAGACAACGCCTAAACAAATTGTGGACATTTGGAAGAAGTAGCAACAAACGTGAACGGTTGGAAATAAATAAGTGACAGAGAAATCAACTTATCATACAATTTAGGGTACTCTTAGATTGCATAAAGGACCAAGAAACCCCCTTGATAAAAAAAAAATTGAAGATATTCAATAGACTGTTGAGCACTTTCGATGAATTTGAGAAAATTGCCAGTTTTACTACGCGAATGTTCTGTGTTTGAAGTCATAATTTCTACTGTGTTCCATTTTTGTAATCCTATACTCCCTCGCCAATTCGGTAACTTTTGCATTTTTTGACAAGCAGCCTCTAAATATAGCTGATCATCGAGTAACATGTTTTCCTCAGTTTTGCTTTTCATTTTTGAGAGTTTGGATCAATAAGGATTCACCCAATTATAGTAATATGTATTCAGTGGATTACTGGACAAAAAGAGTTTATAAAGTTTTTTTTAAGCTACGGGGATTTGAAGATTTTTAAATTGGATTATTTGGGATAATCAACGCGCAATATACTAAACACGTTATTGATAATTTACTTAGCGTGAAGCGAGATAAAATGAAAAAAATTTTGACAAAAAAAAATTCTTTTTGATCATTTCGTTAATTATTCAAACAAAAGTTTTTTTAATTGGCCTTAAAGTTCATTAGGATCGTTCAGGGCTTTGCGCTGGTATGCAAGCAGTCTGGTTATAGTTGAAAACTGAGATTGTATACTTGCTAGAAAAATGTAGTTGTAATGTCTTTTGTATTTGTAAAATTATGCTTTCATACTGACATTATAACGAGTATGCAAAGTCATGGCCAGAAATTCGGCTAATTTTTGTCCTTGCTGTGCTATTCGAAATTAGTGATTACTTTCGCCGAAAGTTTCCTTGAAAAAAAATTATGGTGACTTTTACCGAAAGGATGAAAAAAACCTCAACAAAGAAAATTTACCAAAGGCAAACTATATCAAATTGAATAGAAATCTGAAAATACATTTCAAAAGCCAACTATAAAACTTCGTCTTACGAAATTTTGTATGATTCGACTGAGTTTGTACAATTTCTCGATAGCATTCGCGCAGTAGTGGGTTTAGGGCGGACGCCCCCTTCCCTTCAGGGATTCGACCCCTTGACACCACAAAGGGCCCCCATTTGATTCTAGTTTAAGACCTCCATTTTTAGCGGGTTGAGACTAAAAATTTTCTACAGGTGCATTTTCTACAGGAGGGATCGCGCGCCAAAAAAACGCCGGCTTTTGGTCAAAATTATCGTAAAAACGCTTATAAACGCCTTTTTGGCCTATTTTGTGAAAGTTTGCCTGGGTGCAAAAATTTGACCAAAACAGGATCTTTTCAGTGCTTTTGGGAGAGCTCGGAAAATCTATTTGGTCGACCAAAAAAAAGGTCAACAAAGTTTTTGAAACCACCCCTCCCCTACTCGTGAAAAAACGTATAGGTCTGCTCCTGCATTTGCAAATGAGATCTGAGTCGCATACTGAAAAATATTGAAGATGATTATGTAAAATCACTTTTGTGATGTGTGCAACAGAGTACAACGTGTTTTTTTTTATCATTTTTATACGCCATCGTCAAACAAACATGAAACATAAACACAAAGCTCATAATTCGGCCCTTCAAAGTTATTTTGGTGGCATATGAAAAAGCCGAAGTGTAAACTAGCCGAAGTATCAACCAGCCAAAAATACGTAGTGTTATGTAATAGTTATGTAACAATTATGTAACAGTTAGGAAAGTTATGCAAATTCATTCATATGAGGTAACTTTTTTTGATGGCGGCTAACATACTCTGCGCAGTTTCGGTTGGTTCATACTTCGGCTGATTTATATACTTAATCAAGAGCAAAAAACTCGAAAACAACTTTCACATATAATTAAACCAGAATCAGAAACTCATATACGGCCTCCACTTAACAGTAGAAGAAACGGAAAATTGAATAAATCTCTTCTCGTATCGAGAATGGAACTAGAGTAATGAATGGTGAAGGGGGAGAAGATTTTGGAGAAGGCACGTGTGTTCTGGTGACTGGGGGTGCTGGATTCATCGGCTCTATTTTGACCTTGGAGCTTCTGGTCAAGGGCTTCGAACTGGTGGTCGTTGACAACTGCTCAAACTCATACATTGCTAGTTAGTACATATATTTGGTGCGTACCCACGGAGCCGCATTCCCGGATAGCCGAAAAATTAAATACCTCCGGTTTTATTTAAATTAAATCAGAAAACTGTTCACTAAATTGAGGCGCATTTTGATTGGACAAAAATTTTTGCAGCCTATTATAGCTAACAAAATTCCGAACATTTTTAAGAGATTTGATTGGCTAATACTTTTACTCTCATTGAAATAATTAACAGCAAAAGTCCGACTACTACAGGGATTTGACCCCTTCAACAACCAAAGCAGAGGAAATTCTCGAGGGTGGATTTTCAAAAAAGAGATTCGATCCCCCCTAAATCCGCTACAGAACCAAAACAGGGGCGGATTTAGGGGGGGGAGGGGGTGGGGTGGGCTGGCGTTTGCTTTTCAGGATTCGAGGCGATTCGACCCCTTGCCGACATATTTGGCGCCAATATATTTATCAAAATTTTCCAAAAAGTGCCTAAAAACGCTTTTTTGGACTGTTTTTTAAAGCATTTGTCCCCCCTCCCCCATCGAGAAAATCCTAGATCCGCCCCTGCATTAAGATTATAATCGGTTATAATTTCGGTTGGGGGCCCTTAATAGTTTTTTTTGTTTGTCGGGGGGGGGGGGGCATGGTGGGGTAAATGTGCGTAGGGGTTATGGGTAATTGGGAGCAGGGGAAGGGAGTGGGAAGGAAGGAGGAACGGACTAAGCGTGTGTGTGTGTGGGGGGGGGGGGGGGGTGGGTAGAGAAAAAGGGTATTCGAAATAAGAAAACAATGTTTTTAAGTAAGTTTGTAGGATCTCTTCAGTATTCCCTTCCTATGGTACCACTAAGAAATGGGTAAGAGGGGTAGAAGGGAGAGGGTAATTGTTAAGTAGATCCAAAATTTCGGCTATCCGGGAACGAATTTATTTTTCGGCTATCCGGGAACGAATTTATTTTTCGGCTATCCGGGTATTCGGCTCCGTGACACGCCACCATATATTTTACTATCTTCAAAAATATTTTAGGTCTTCGATCATACATTTATGCTGATGTGACCCGAACATTTAGTTTTTTTTAAGTTTAAGCAGTAAAAATTAGTGCTTGCAAATTCGTTAGGAGGATTTGTTTTTTTTTTCATCTTTTATCAAATAAAAACATTGCAAAGTTTTGAATCTCTTTCAAAAATTTCAATATCAGAAAAAAATGACAGAAAATAATAACTTACGGATCAAGTTAAAATCCTCCCCCCCCCCTCCCCCAAATAGACCAAGTTAAGACCCTCCACCCCAGCGCTTAATTTAAATTAAATTTGCTAAGCGCCCATGTAAAATGCTCGATTCTGATTGGCTGAAAATTCCCAACTTAGAACCAAGTTAACATCCTCCCCCCTAAACGTATTTAGAGGGGAGGATGTTAACTTGTTCCTAACTTACTTCTTCATAATCTGCAAGAGAAAGAACCAACATGTGAGCTATGTTCAGATCACTACGGAGAACCACTGTTGTGCCACTGTTAAAACTCTATATATTCAAGTTTTTGTGTATTTTTTTTTGGGCTGGGTAAGGTTGCCTCACCCTGAAGCAACGAATACGGCTCATAGTGAGCCTCGTACGTCGGACCATTTGATTGAGAGGCGGAGACGAAACCACTTCACAACCGCTCCACTTAATACTTAGTTTTTTACGAGATTTTAGTACCAAAAAAATTTATGCCTTTCTAGAATAGTCTCAGCCCATTGATTTTGATTTCAGATTAATATGAGGAGTTAAATTTTATTTTTTGCTTTATGTCTTATAAATTTAGGCTGATTTTACCTAAATTGGCAAGCTTAGTTGTAATCCCCCCCCCCCCCCCCCTGCAACCAAAACAGCAGAAAGTTCAGAAATGACAAAAGCAAAAAAAAAATATTACGAAGCTAAACTGTGCGTTTGGTGGATTGTATGCGGATTCCACAACAAGCCAAAAACAGAATAATTGCAGAATTCTCAACACTGCTACTTTTCTTGGATCAAGTTAACATCCTCCCCCAGGTAGACCAAGTTAAGATCTTTCACCCCAGCATTTAATTCTCATTATTTTTGCTAAGCGCTGCATGTAAAGTGCTCGATTCTGATTGGCTGAAAAATTCTAACTTAGAACCAAGTTAACATCCCCCCAATGGCTTTTTAGGGGGGATGTTAACTTCGTCCCTTTTCTTTAATCTTCTTTGCTGTTTTGGATTCCACAAACAAATACCTGAAACACTGTATTGCTCAAAATTGCTCCAAAAACAGGCAACTTTGCGGAATCCGCAAAAAAATTTGTGGAATCGGCAACAGAATTTGCGGAATCCGGAACACTTCGTGGAATCCACGAACAAATAATATGATATGTGCTTAGTAAATTTGAGCTGTCATGGGATCCGCAACTATAAGTTCAACCCGGAATTCATTTACATTTGGGAATTCACTTATATTTGGAGAATCCGCTTACATTTGCAGAATCGGGAACAACTACCTATATTCGTTCGTTGCCGAACGCAACAAAATTAGTGCCGACAAGTTTTACTTTACAGATATTTGTACGCGGAATGCACGGAAATGTTCTAAGTGGAACCCAATTACATTTTGGAACACGTTTAAAGACTTGTCTCTGGAATCCACAATTATGCACTCACCAAATTGTGCGCCTATCCAGTGGACTGTTTGGTAATGAATGATTACTGTGCTCGGAACTTTCGGTGTGACTTGCAAAGCTACCGGTTGCTATCATTGATGCTGTTTTCAGAGGGTGATGACAAACCGGAGAGTTTAATTCGAGTAGAGAGGCTGGCCAATGGGAAGACGGGGAAGAAAAAAGAAGTCACTTTCTACCTGATGGACATTCTGGAAGAAGATAAACTACTCACAATTTTTCAAGAGGTCCCAACAGCTCAATTGCTGCAAAATAAGGATTTTTGATTAACCAAACTAAGAATGCTGTTTTTGAGCCCTTTTAGGATTGTTTTGAGAAAACAACAAAATTTCAAAGTTAGGTTAAATCAATGCATAATACCTTATGAAAAACATTACCAGAACGTGATGAAAAAAAGCGAAAACATACCAACTATGTTACTATTTCAGATACTTTTGTGTATAACTTATAACATTATAGGCATCTGTTTAACAAAGTATGTTAATGTTGCAGCACAATTTTTTCTGCGTGATGCATCTAGCGGGTCTGAAGTCGGTGGGGGAGAGCGTGAAATATCCCCTGAAGTACTACGAGGTGAACATGGGCATAGCCACTAATCTGCTCAGATGTATGGACCAAACTGGAGTTACTGGACTTTATGTACAAACACAGTGCTAATGAACCAGCCAAACAATCGAGCAGTTTCACTTAAAAACTGGGTCTTTTCTGGGGTTTTCTTTAACCGCTCAAAAATTAATACAGTGCTGATTTAAATTAACCGGACAACAAATTGGGTTAAGATTTGACAAAAATTTAAGAGAACAAGAGTTGCTTAGAATTTCACCATAATTAATATGGTGCAATTTTTCTGCGAAATTTTCAACCAAAATTTTACCCCAAAAAAGTGTCATTTGGGTTTTTTTAATTAACCAAAAATTACGCTCAAACTACTTTGTTAACTGATGGGATAATTATATCACAAGAAGCCCCTTACACAGCCCAACAAAGTTCTAGAAGGATTAAACCTCCTTCTTGGTTGATTACAAAAAACACAAATGACCCATTTTTGTGGTAAAATTTTGGTTGAGAATTACGGAGAAGAAATTGCACCATGTTAGTTCTGATGAAGTTCTAAGCAACTCTTGTTCTCTTCACTTTCTGTCTTATCTTAACCCAATTCGAGCAAAAGGCGTTTGAAAATTCAAGTTCTGTTCGTTTTGTGCTCGGGGTGTTTTTTTTCAGACAAATTTCGACTCTTTAACCAGCCATTTTTGACAGAATTTTTTTGATATCATTCAAAAAGTGTTGTTGTCCTGAGCTTAAATTCGAAAAAATATTTCACTTGTGATCAATTTTTGTAAAGTTATGATGGTTTAAAGATTGCCATTTTGGCCAACTTGGGGCAAATAACGCGCGATATGTTTCGCGCTATCAACGCGTAAGCGGAGATTTAATTCGTCTTAAAAATTGTTACAAATTGTTTGAATAATTTTGCCATGATTGATTTTTTAATAGGAGCAAAATATATCACCTTGTTTTTATATGGCGTGTGGGGGATGATTTTCACGAAAAATCTCAAATTAAAAAAAATCGTTTTATGTTATTACTGCTCCATAGACCTTAAACGGCAGTCGGAAGCTTCAGGGCTTCGACTTGATACGTGCAATCTTGTTTTGTTTAATATTCAAACTTGGTTGAAATATGCTGCAGAATTTTGTCCAGATTAGAAAAAAAAACACAGAAAAAAGCTCCAGGAAAAAGTGACCACCTTCACATCTGCATCTGCTCGAAGTTCGACCTTGTTAGAAATCGGCTAACAAATACAGTGGTTATTGTATCAACCAAAAAAACGGCGCTATCGGTGCTATCAGTGTTTTGTTATCTGTATTTTCACATTGAGTATAACAAAATCTATTACGAAGATTACAGAAAACTGGGCGGAATACGTAAGAAGATCACTTTTCTGCTATACGGCCCAAAGTTGTCAAATGGTTCATTGAGCTTGTAATTAATGAAAATCTGAATTTTCTTTTGCTGTTATTAGTTGCTGATAGTTTCAACCAATAAGATTCGAGAATTGCGATGCAATTTTCAAAATAACAAAAAGAGCAGTTTTGGGCCGTATAACAGAAAAGACCCAAAAAAAACTTTGTAACAAGTAGAAAATCAAGCCTCAAAGAAAAGATGAATTTTTGTTGGAATACAAACTCCCTTTTTTCAGATAGGTTTTTGTTTGGTTGGTTTGTTCACACGCAGAACATCCGATAGGTCGAACATTCGATATTTCAAAGCACCGCACTCACATTATAGTTACCTATTAACATAACATCGTAACCCCAAAACCAAGGAGGAGTTCAGCGCGCCGATTCTAATTTTAGAAAGCAATTGCGTTATACTACAAGGTTCTCGGGTACACATCCGATTTGTCAAACATCCATCTGCTATGTAAAACATCCACTATGTCAAACATCCGAACTTATATAATAATTAGATAATGATATGACGTTAGAATTTCAAACACGCGACATAGCTCAATTAAAAGACTCCAATTTAGCCAAGTCTCATTTCTGGTCACGGGTGGGCGCGCTACGTAGGCCACATAGGCTCTAATTTTTATATAGCATCCTACCCTCTGTTGGCTAGCTCGTAACACGAGTGAGGCCGTCACTCGGCCAACATTGCATCTTTTAAGCGAAAGGTACATATATAAGATTTTGCACAATTTCAAAAAAGTCAAATGTCTGTGCTGCTAAAACTGTTTATCGAATGTTTGCAACGCTTTTTGGTTTTTCGAATGTCCTCTGTATCAGATTTCTGCACAATGTCTTACAATAAATTGGGATCTACTTAATAATCTACCCCTTTCAAGAAATGGGGGAGATTTTTAGGTAGTTACTTGCAGCGAATTTTTGACCGATCAGAATGCAGCAAATTTCGAATTCAAACACAACGCTCTAGTGTGAATTTACTGTTTTTATTTAAAGGGGTGGAGATTCAGTAGTAGATGCAAATAGAAAAATAGAAACACAAATACTGTGATAGTACACTGGAGAAGGAGGATTACAATTTGGTGTATTTAGGGGGAGAAGGTTAGCTTGACCCTATTTAAGACAAGCAGGAGACATGTCAGTTTTTTTTATTTTAAGTAATATTTATCTTTTTGATTTATCGATGCCGCCAAGTAAAAATACAATTTCAGTTTTAGGATATAAGAGCTCTCAATTCATCGTACTCATTATTAATTTTCAATTTTTGCGACGTATGTAACAACCGTACATGTAACAACAAATGTAACAAGATAGCCTTCAACTTCCGATCAAAATGGTACTTTAAATAATTTTTACAATATTTACACACAGTCTTTTGCAATTAGTGAAAACGTAAAGACATTAATTTTTTATGTTGTCTTTAAAAACATGTCCTATTGTACCATACTTTTAATAATAATCATAAAAACAAATTTGTTATCAGGCTCACAATTTTGTAGACTAGCTTACGATATTGGTTATAACTGTATCCCATATATTTGTTACAGCTATACTTGTACATTTGCACAGTGTATGGACCAGTGCTGCGTGAACAACTGCCGATCACTGAGGAGCAGCCGACTGGCAACCGCACGTGTGCATATGGGAGGACCAAGTACTTCATTGAGCAGATGCTCAAGGACTGCTGTCGGGCCAACCCGGTGACTCGAGTATAACATTGCAACACGGATCAAGTTAAAATCCTCCTCAATCTCCATCCCACAAGTAGGCACAGTTTAGATCCTCCACCCCATCATTCAATTCAAATTACATTTGCTCAGCGCTGCGTGTAAAATGCTCTATTCTGATTGGCTGAAAATTCGACCTCAGAATCAAGTTAACACCCCCCCCCCCTAAATCGCTCTACGGGGGATGATGTTAATTTGGTCCTGCAACACCTTTTGCTGCATATGAAGCATTGTGACACTTGCCCAGCATTAAAAGTATTGCGGGATCGTATTAGCATAGCACAATAGCTGCAAGATAATTTCTGGAATGTAAGTCATAGCTTAGTTGGTTTTATTAATTATAAATATGCATGAGAAACTTTGGAGCAAGTTAATATCCTCCCTCCTCAAGCGATTTAGGGGGAGGTTGTTAACTTGGTTCAAAAGCTGGAATTTTCTGCCAAACTGAAGATCTTAATTTGGTCTATTAAGGGGGAAGAATGTTAACGTGCTGCAAAACTTCGGTTAAACATCATCTTCAAAAGAGCTAGCAATTCAGCCACTTATGTCGAACCTCCTACTTCTCTTAACAACTTTTCTGTGTTACTATGCTTGGAGGAGGGGGCTGTCAAAGAAAGAGCAAAATACTGTTGTTGTATGTTGTCAGAAACTGACATGTGTGAGTATGCGCTACTTCAACCCGGTGGGGGCTCACGAGTCGGGCCAGATTGGGGAGGACCCCAACGGCATCCCAAGACGTCTCATGCCCAATGTGGCACAGGTGGCCACGGGACGCAAACAGGTGCTGCTCACTCTATCATTAATTTATTCAATCGACCCTTTCTGAAGGTAACACCACATTTCATCCTCCCCCATCTCCGCCCGCATGTGACAAGTGACTTATTGAATTTTGTAACATTGCCCGGTTGCTATGAACATGTTTTTATCTGCATTGTAAGACCAACTTTGTAAAAGCCATAGGCTAAATAATAAATGCTTGTATATCAGGGCAAAGTCATGAATGTACCAAATTGCCCCTTCATCTGTATCGAATAGTTGTTGGCGAAAAAAAAATCAAGTTTGAGTTTTCAAACAAAAAAAATTAAAATTTTTGTCAACATTTTTTTTAGGTCGGACCAAATTCATATTCTGAGATCTCCCAAATTACTATAAAGCCCCCATTTTGACCAAAATTTGAGCTGCAGGCATTTTTTTGAAACAGCGGACATAAAATGCGTTTTCAAGCTTTTTTTGGAAAATATTGACAAAAAAATCGCGTTTTTCGGGCGCGCGCTCCTCCCTCAAAATTGAGGCCGAAGCCCTAAATCCGCTGGTGTTTCCAGCTAACTTACAGCCACAGGAACTATTTAAAAACTCAATGAATATTAATTTATGATATTTTTTTCCTGATTATGTTTCCATGTTATGACACTCCCATTGAAAAAAATGCTCAAGTGGCACAGGGTAAAAAGGTAAAGGACAAATTGGAATAGGCTAAATTGTCATGTAACCACTATTGTATAATATTATAAGAAGTGCATGAATGAAAGTATTCACCAAGTAACATGGCTCAAAAACATTTCATACGTTTAGAAATAAAGTAACTGTTCCAATTTTCGAGGAAAGTAAAGAGTATGTTTGCGTTTTTAATCTGGAACGTAGAGGTGAGTTTTTTAATCAGCCTAATTTATATTTAAAAAATTGACTGCGTGGTGATCGATCCTGGATTTTTTGTATTCCCAGGCGGGTGTTTGCCTCAGTCTTATTGAGTTTATACACTTCTCGTTTAACCGACGATAGTTTCAACGTGATGTTTGTATCCATGGCGAATCATCCCGCATTCATAACCCTTCCTAATTGAGGCAAACTAAATCGGTGATAGCAATCCCGTATACGAATCAAATTTTGGCACTTAATGTTTGATATTGGGGTTAAATTGTGATAGAGGGGTCCCATGAAACTAACAGAATGTCTAATGCAATAACACAGTGCTTCAAAATAGTTCAATTTATGGTCTCGATGATTACAATTGAAAATATATAAAAACAGGTTTGCGCAAATGAGGAAGGTTATTTAGGTTTTAAAAAGTCTTGCAAATGATCAAGGGGCAACAATTAACGGATCTACTTAAAAATCTTCCCCCTATTGAATCTACTAAAGAATCTCCCCCCCCCCCCTTTCTTGAAGGGGAGAGATTAGTAAGTAGATCCTAATTAACTTACCTAATTGCTATATTTGCGTAAAATTAGCATGATATGGCAATTCGAAACTAGATTTTATTGCAAAAATGATTCTCATTGAAAAAATCTGTTCTACCTGCTGGATAGACATTTTTGTTCAAATTTTGAGATTTCAATTGTAATTTTGAATGATAATTTTGCTACAGTCTTTCAAATAAACGTTTTGTCATCCATGAAATCTTTTTTTTGTAGTCGCATTTTTTGTAGTTTCTGAGCGTGTACGGGAATGACTACGATACGGCTGACGGGACTGCAGTGCGAGATTACACTCACGTGTCGGATGTGGCAGCCGCACACACCAAACTAACCCTCCGACTGATCGAGGGGCAATTCTGTGAATTCACTGCATACAACTTCAGGTGAGAGACTTAGCACAGTGGTAGGGCGTTCACTTTAAGAGCGTCACATCGTGTGTTCAATCTCCAGCCATGGCAAGGGTTGGGTGCTAGGATGAGCTGTCACCTGACCTCTAGCTTCAGGTCTATCTCAGTTTGACCAATTTCGGACGCAGTAGTGGTACCACGTGACTGCTCTAGACGCAAATAAACAGCTTTGAAAAGAAACAACTGATTCTGAACCGTAACTCGTTAGAAAAACTTACTGATCTACCACAATCACGGATTATTAATGACTTTGAAGAAAAAAGGCAAAGATGTGTTATTGTTAGCAGAATTTTTTGCCTAATTCCTTTTTCGCGTCTGTTATCTGTTATTTTTACCCAGATTGTGGAAGTTGAATTGTTGTGCTGATCTCTAATGACAGAGGATTTGAATAAAAACTAGAGTAGAAGAGTCCCTTATGTATAGTTCTGAGTTCAAACATTTCTAAGCAAGTTTTTGTTGCGGAGAACCATTGCTTTGAATTAACTGAGGCAACTTGGTGAACCTAACGAAATACACAAAACTTTAAATTTTTTTCCTCAAACAAAAAGTATATAACAGTATGGAATTTATGTTTCAACATGTGTTAACTCAACATAAAGAGATCATGAAAAGCCATAGGTTAAATAATAAATTCTTGTATATCAGGGCAAAGTCATGAATGTACCAAATTGCCCCTTTATCTGTATCGAATAGTTGTTGGCGAAAAAAAAATCAAGTTTGAGTTTTCAAACAAAAAAAATTAAAATTTTTGTCAACCTTTTTTTTTAGGTCGGACCAAATTCATATTCTGAGATCTCCCAAACTACTATAAAGCCCCCATTTTGACCAAATTTTGAGCTGCAGGCATCTTTTTGAAACAGCGGAATAAATGCGTTTTCAAGCTTTTTTTTGGAAAATACTGACAAAAAAATCGCGTTTTCGGGCGCGCGATCCTCCCTCAAAATTGAGGCCGAAGCCCTAAATCCGCTGGTGTTTCCAGCTAACTTACAGCCACAGGAATTATTTAAAAACTCAATGAATATTAATTTATGATATTTTTTTCCTGATTATGTTTCCTGATTATGACACTCCCATTGAAAAATATGCTCAACTTGAACAGTGAGCTACAATAGGTTAAGTTGGAACGTAGGTTAAAGTGGCACAGGGTAAAAAGGTAAAGGACAAATTGGAATAGGCTAAATTGTCATGTAACCAGTATTGTATAATATTATAAGAAGCGAATGAATGAAAGTATTCACCAAGTAAAATGGCTCAAAAACATTTCATGCGTTTAGAAATAAAGTAACTGTTCCAATTTTTGAGGAAAGTAAAGAGTATGTTTGCGTTTTTAATCTGGAACATAGAGGTGAGTTTTTTAATCAGCTTAATTTATATTTAAAAAATTGATTGCGTGGTGATCGATCCTGGATTTTTTGTATTCCCAGGCGGGTGTTTGCCTCAGTCTTATTGCGTTTATACACTTCTAGTTTAACCGACGATAGTTTCAACGTGATCTCTGTATCCATGGCGAGTCATCCCGCATTCATAACCCTTCCTAATTGAGGCAAACTAAATCGGTGATAACGATCCCGTATACGAATCAAATTTTGGCACTTAATGTTTGATATTGGGGTTAAATTGTGATAGAGGGGTCCCATGAAACTAACAGAATGTCTAATGCAATAACACAGTGCTTCAAAATAGTTCAATTTATGGTCTTGATGATTACAATTGAAAATATATAAAAACAAGTTTGCGCAAATGAGGAAGGTTATTTACGTTTTAAAAAGTCTTGCAAATGATCAAGGGGCAATAATTATTAGATCTACTTAAAAATCTCCCCCCTATTAAATCTACTAAAGAATCTCCGCCCCCCCTTTCTTGAAGGGGGGAGATTAGTAAGTAGATCCCAATTAACTTACCTAATTGCTATATTTGCGTAAAATTAGCATGATATGGCAATTGGAAACTAGATTTTATTGCAAAAATGATTCTCATTGAAAAAATCTGTTCTACCTGCTGGATAGACATTTTTGTTCAAATTTTGAGATTTCATTTGTAATTTTGAATGAAAATTTTGCTACAGTCTTCAAATAAACATTTTGTCATCCATGAAACTTTTTGTAGCCGCATTTTTTTGTAGTTTCTGAGCGTGTACGGGAATGACTACGACACGGCTGACGGGACTGCAGTGCGAGATTACACTCACGTGTCGGATGTGGCAGCCGCACACACCAAAATAACCCTCCGACTGATCGAGCGACAGTTCAGTGGATTCACTGCTTACAACTTCAGGTGAGAGACTTAGCACAGTGAGTAAGGCGTTCTCTTTGAGAGCCTCACATCGCGTGATCAATCTCCAGCCATGGCAACGGTTGGGTGCGAGAACGTGCTGTCACCTGACCTCTAGCTTCAGGTCTATCTCAGCCTGACCAATTTCGGACGCAGTAGTGGTACCACGTGACTGCTCTAGACGCAAATAAACAGCTTTGTAAAGAAACAACTGATTCTGAAACGTAACTCGTTAGAAAAACTTACTGATCTACCACAATCACGGATTATTAATGACTTTGAAGAAAAAATGCGAAGATGTGTTATTGTTAGCAGAAGTTTTTGCCTAATTCCTTTTTCGCGTCTGTTATCTGTTATTTTTACCCAGATTGTGGAAGTTGAATTGTTGTGCTTATCTCTAATGACAGAGGATTTGAATAAAAATTAGAGTAGAAGAGTCCCTTATGTATAGTTCTGAGTTTAACAATTTCTAAGCAAGTTTTTGTTGCGGAGAACCATTGGTTTGAACTAACTGAGGCAACTTGGTAAACCTAACGAAATACACAAAACTGTAAAAAAAATTTCCTCAAACAAAAAGTATACAACAGTATGGAATTTATGTTTCAACAAGTGTTAACTCAACATAAAGAGATCAGGGAAAGCCATAGGTTAAATAATAAATGCTTGTATATCAGGGCAAAGTCATGAATGTATCAAATTGCCCCTTCATCGGTATCGAATATTTGTTGGCGAAAAAAAAATCAAGTTTGAGTTTTCAAACAAAAAAAATTTAAATTTTTGTCAACCTTTTTTTTTTAGGTCGGACCAAATTCATATTCTGAGATCTCCCAAACTACTATAATGCCCCCATTTTGACCAAATTTTGAGCTGCAGGCATCTTTTTGAAACAGCAGAATAAATGCGTTTTCAGGCTTTTTTCGGGCGCGCGCTCCTCCCTCAAAAATGAGGCCGAAGCTCTAAATCCGCTGGTGTTTCCAGCTAACTTACAGCTACAGGAACTATTTGAAAACTCAAGGAATATTAATTTATGATATTTTTTCCTGATTATGACTCTCCCATTGAAAAATATGCTCATTTTGAACAGTGAGCTACAATAGGTTAAGTTGGAACGTAGGTTAAAGTGGCACAGGGTAAAATGGTAAAAGACAAATTGGAATAGGCTAAATTGTCATGTAACCAGTATTGTATAATATTATAAGAAGTGCATGAATGAAAGTATTCACCAAGTAACATGGCTCAAAAACATTTCATGCGTTTAGAAATAAAGTAACTGTTCATTTGTAATTTTGAATGAAAATTTTGCTACAGTCTTCAAATAAACATTTTGTCATCCATGAAACTTTTTGTAGCCGCATTTTTTTGTAGTTTCTGAGCGTGCACGGGAATGACTACGACACGGCTGACGGGACTGCAGTGCGAGATTACACTCACGTGTCGGATGTGGCAGCCGCACACACCAAACTAACCCTCCGACTGATCGAGGGGCAATTATGTGGATTCACTGCTTACAACTTCAGGTGAGAGACTTAGCACAGTGGTAAGGCGTTCACTTTGAGAGCGTCATATCATGTATTCAATCTCCAGCCATGGCACGGGTTGGGTGCGAGGTTGAGCTGTCACCTGACCTCTAGCTTCAGGTCTATCTCAGTTTGACCAATTTCGGCCGCAATAGTGGTACCACATGACTGCTCTAGACGCAAATAAACGCCTTTGAAAAGAAATAACTTGTTGCAGCGCAAATGTAAGCGAGAGTATAAATGCATATAAATGTAAATGCATATAGGGACATTAGCTGAACGTATACAGGGTGCGTCCCGGCGGGTTCGGCACCGGTTCGAATACCTACTAGGTCATTTCCTTTCTAGAATTCAAATTTGCCCCGAACTTGATGGGACGCTCCGTAACCATGTTCGTTATATATTGTTATATTAAAAACTTTGCTGAGCTATTTTACCGATAAAATGCTCGTTAATTCAATTGTTTGAAATCTGATATTTTTACAATTCGTGGAGATTGAAGCGCACATTTTGACGCCCCACGAAGAGCACAAGGGACCCGATGCTTTGGAACGATAAAGAAAGTACTTTACCGAATAACTATTTTTCCTCCCTAGCTCAATTAAAGTCTTTGGAAAGGAGGCTAGATAAGGATCCGTCGCTCCGTGAGAAGTACGCCGAAACAATTAGAGAAGATATACAAAAAGGATATGTCATAACCGTTAAGGCACACGATCCCATATCACGAGCCGATCGTGAGTGCTATCTCCCGCATCACCCGGTGTTGAACCCGAACAAGCCCGGTAAGGTGCGCCGAGTCCTCAATGGGGCATCGAAGTGTCATGGCGCTTCCTTGAACAAATCTCTGTTGGTTGGCCCGGATCTCCTTCAAAACCTCATTTTTGTTCTTTTAAGATTCCGTCAGCATAAATACGCTGTTTCAGCTGATATTGAAGTGATGTTATAACAGGTTGGAGTCCGTGAAGAAGATCAATCTTCTCTTCGTTTGTTGTGGCGGGAGGACCCCACATCAAGTATGGTAGTTCACCAATATACGCGTCACATTTTTGGTACCCGTGACTCGTCGACTTGTGCGAATTTTGCTTTGCAGAAGACTGCATTGGATCATCGAGCTGAGTACCCCGAAGCTGCTTCGACTGTTGTTCAGAAGTTTTATATGGATGATTATCTGGATTCTTTTCAAAACAGGGATGACGCCTTGAAATTAGGTAGGGATTTAGTCTCGTTGCTTAAACTAGGTGGGTTTCATCTGACAAAATTTGTCAGCAACGTGCCCGACGTAACAACCGGTCTTGATCCGGACAACCGTGAGTCCAACTCCTCTGTTAAAGATATTTGTACGAGTCCAGACCAGTCGTCGCATGTTCTCGGTTTTAATTGGGATCACTTAAAAGATAATTTAGTCGTTAGTAGAAGGGTTGATCGTCCACTAGACAAAGCAATCACCCAGCGTACCGTGTTGAGGTTTGTTTCCTCTGTTTTTGATCCAATTGGACTAGTGGATCCGTATACCCTGAATGATCGCCTTCTATTAAAAGATATCTGGCGAATCAGCGGTCAAAAAAGTTACGATGATCTGCCAGAGGAAATCAAAAAGCAGTTCCTGGAGTGGCACTCAGGTCTTCATTTGTTAGGTTCTCTGACAATTTCTCTTAGCTATTTCACTGACCCTTTTGACCGAATAGAACTTCACATATTCGGTGATAGTTCGCAGGATGTTCATGTGCCGTCGCTTTCCTTCGTGCGCGACTTGCTAGCTCGCATCAGACTGAATTAGCCTTTGAGTTCGGCAAAGCACGCGTTGCGCTTATGAAAGCGCTATCTAATCCAAAGTTAGAGCTTCAAGCGGCTGTTCTTGCGACCTGCTTAAAAGAAGAAATTTTGAAAGGTCTTACTTTGAAAGTTACGGAAATTTTCATGTGGACAGATAGTACCACTGTTCTCCAGTGGCTTAACTCCTGTAATAAACATTGTGGAGTCTACCACCACTGATCAGTGGCATCACATACTTAGCGGTGATAACCCAGCTGATACCGGTACACGAGAGATTTCTTCGGAAGCCCTCAAGGAAAGCTGCTGGGTTAATGGCCCTAGTATACTGAGAACGATTGATTGGCCCTTCAAGCCCGATACAAGGGTTATTGATAAAATAAGACTCAAAGGACCATCATGTGATATCGACAGTTGTCTGGAAAATTCGTCAAATTTCGTCGTCGATGTTTTGACAGAAAAAAATCTTCCCTTCGGAAAATGGGAGAGATTCAAATCAATTGTAAAATACAAACGCACAGTAGCATTTTTGTTAAGATGGCTGCCATCCCATAAACATTTCCGGTCGAGTATATTAGAAATTAAAGACCCGTCTGAAATGGATATTGCTGAACAGAAGCTCATTTACCTGTCCCAGGGTGAGACATTTCGTAGTGAGCTAAAAGTACTAAGATCCGGTAAAGTTATCACGAGGAGTAGTCGGATCGCCAAGTATTCGCCGTTCATTGGACCAGCTGGCATCCTTCGCTCGACTGGGCGCATCAACCGCTTGGTTAATTCCGATTTCGATAGCAAGCATCCAATTATACTTGATGCAAGTCACGCGGTTGTTCAGTTATTGGTTAAACACTTGCACGTTAGGAATTTCCATCAAGACTTGGATTACATGCGTGCGGTGGTTAATTTGAAATACGTTGTGTTAAATTTGCGATGGTTGCTGCGAAACATTGAAAATACTTGCGTTGCGTGCCGAAAACACTAAGCGCAAACCGTAACTCACATTATGGCTGATCTGCCCATTGAAAGGCTGGGTTACAAGCAACATCCTTTCTCTAACACAGGTGTTGACTACTTGGGGCCGTTCCTAGTTCCAATCCGGAGAAGTAGGAAAAGAGGTGGGGTTTTTTGTTCACCTGTCTCACCACTAGAGCGGTGCACATTGAAGTGGTCCCCTCGCTCGACACAAGCTCTTGTGTGATGGGCATGGAGAGGTTTTTTGCACGTCGCGGTACTCCGATTACCATCATGTCCGACAACGGCACGAACTTTGTTGGCGCTCAGAAAGAGCTCTTAGCGTGCGTTGAGAGTTGGAACAAGCTCGCAGCCGCTGTTTTTGTCCAGAAAGGGATCAAGTGGAAATTCAATCCGCCCAGCGCACCGCACAATGGTGGCTCCTGGGAGCGATTAGTTCGGAGTGTCAAGCGCGTTTTGTATGACATCTTAGGCAACAGAAGTGTAACCGAGGAGGTTCTAAGAACCACGCTGTGCCTTGTTGAGCAATCACTTAACGCTAGACCGATAACAGCCGTTAGTATCACTCCGCTAGATCTAGAGACGACGTTGACCCCGAATCATTTTATCCTTGGTCAACACGCAGCGAGTTTTCCGTCGCTAAGTTTCGAAGAAAACATCGACCATAAGAAGCGATTCGCCAGAGCGCAATCATACGCTAACGCAATATAGACACGGTGGATGCGGGAATACGATCCTTCCCTCAATAGGAGGGCAAAGTGGCACAACAGGTCAGACGTTAAGTTGAAAGCCGGCGACTTGGTTTGGGTCATAGAGCCTGACACTCCACGTGGACATTATCCACTCGCACGTATCCTAAGACTGCACTATGGCAAGGACGGATGCGCGAGATCCGCCGACATAAAGACCGTTACGAGCGAACTGACCCGCCCGACCGTAAACCTCCCTCCCCTTCTTCCTTGTTTAGGGGTGGAGGATGTTGCAGAGCAAATGTAAGCGAGAGTATAAATGCATATAAATGTAAATGCATATAGGGACAGTAGCCGAGCGTATACAGGGTGCGTCCCGGCGGGTTCGGCGCCGGTTCCAATCCCGACTGGGTCATTTCCTTTCTAGAATTCAAATTTGCCCCGAACTTGATGGGACGCTCCGTAACCAGGTTCGAACTCCCCCACCCGCCAAAAAAACCTATTTTAACCGTCTTTTCGCTCTAATTTGGTTCAGCCTTGATTAAGGCTGACCTTTAAAAGAGCAATTTGTCTCAAGGACAAATACTGGCCATTTTAGCAGCTTGTCTTGAGTTATGCAGTTTGTGCCGATGTTACCGATGTTGAAGTATGAAAAAATTCGTTATATTTAAAACTTTCCTGAGCTATTTTACCGATAAAATGCTCGTTAATTCAATTGTTTGAAATCTGATAATTTTACAATTCGTGGAGATTGACGCACACATAACTGATTCTGGAACGTAACACGTTAGAAAAACTGACTGATCTACCTTAATCACGGATTATTAATGACTTTGAAGAAAAAAGGCGAAGATGTGTTGTTGCTAGCAGAAATTTTCGCGTAGTTCCCTTTTTGCTACCCAGCACTTCGCATTTGAAGATTGTGGAAATTGAATTGTTGTGCTGATCTCTATTGACAGAGCATTTGAATAAAAGTTAGAGTAGAAGAGTCCCTTATGTATAGTTATGAGTTTAAAAATTTCTGAGCAAGTTTTTGTTGCGGAGAACCATTGCTTTGAACTAACTGAGGCAACTTGGTGAACCTAACGAAATACACAAAACTTTAAAAAATTTTCCTCAAACGAAAAGTGTATAACAGCATGGAATTTATGTTTCAACAAGTGTAAACTCAACATAAAGAGATCAGGAATCCAATTGAATTCGATATAGTTTCCAGACCAACACAGGTTTAAAAACATACTTCGCCTCTTATCGTTGCTATGCTCACTGGTTCACTTTGATACCTTTTTTCAGTTATGGTACTAGCTACTCAGTTTTGGAGATGGTTGAGGCATTCAAGAATGTGTCGGGAGTGGAGATCCCGTGCAAGATCGAGCCGAGAAGGGAGGGGGACACCGCTCACCTGGTGTCAGACTGCTCCAAGGCACTCCGAGATCTTACCTGGAGAGCCACTAGGGATCTAGACACAATGTGTAAGTCCAGGTTCCCCTTTTAAAGACATTCTGTTGCTCTTTTCCATGTCCAGTCGTGTGTACAGCCCAGTTTCCAAAATTAGAATCAATATTCATAGAAACAACGAATGAAAGTTCTTCAAATTATTAATTTCTTCACATCAGTGTCGTTTTTTGTACGTTGTGTGATGATAAAAGTAAAAACAAGCAAAAAAGTTGGTAAATTCGGCATAGTTAACAACATTGGTCTTCAAAACAAGAAAAGCAAACAAAAAATGAAAAAAAAAAAAACAAATAAAAAACTCTTGCCAGGGAAATGCCAAATATAGCTTCTAGTACTAGTTTCAGTTTGAAAAAAAAAATGGCCAATTAAGCAAGTTATCATCAGTTAATTTGGTCAAAATTAGACGAGAAACCAAAAATTTCAAGCCGATTTTCCTTGACAATAGGAATTTGTTTGAAATTTTTTTTAATGTTGTTGGAATCACGACTGAAAGGGTTTTAAGATGATATATCACTAAATCCAGACTGATGAATATTTGTGGTACTTGATTTTGCGTGGAAAACATTAAAAAGGAAAACAAGGATAGCCTGTTACTGTGCAAGCAGCACAGAGTGTTCCGAATACAGTGCTGATTTAAATTATCCGGACAAAACGAACATAACTTGAATTTTCAAACACGTTTTTCTCAATTTGGGTTAACATTAGACAAAAAGTGAAGAGAACAAAAGTTGCTTAGGATTTCACCAGAATTAATATGGTGCCATTTTTTCTCCGAAATTCTTAACAAAAATTTTACCCCAAAAATGGGTCAATTTGGCTTTTTTCAATTAATCAAGAATTACGCTGAAACTACTTTGTTAATTGATACGAAAATTATATCACAGGAAGCCTCTTACGCAGCTCAACAAAGTTTAAGAAGGGTTAAATCTCCAAAAACCAGTATAAGAGAAAAAATTTTCACTTGATAGTCAAAAAATGTGATTTTTACTATATAAAACCCAGAATCTCTGTTAAAAAATTAATTTTAAACAATTTGCGCAAATTTTTGGAGATTTAACCCCTCTTAAACTTTGTTGAGCTGCGTAAGAGGCTTCCTGTGATATAATTTTCGTATCAATTAACAAAGTAGTTTCAGCGTAATTCTTGATTAATTGAAAAAAGCCAAATTGACCCATTTTTGGGGTAAAATTTTTGTTAAGAATTTCGGAGAAAAAATGGCACCATATTAATTCTGGTGAAATCCTAAGCAACTTTTGTTCTCTTCACTTTTTGTCTAATGTTAACCCAATTTGAGAAAAACGCGTCTGAAAATTCAAGTTTTGTTCGTTTTGTCCGGATAATTTAAATCAGCACTGTAGTCTTAAAAATTAAAAAAAAAAATGTTTTTTTTTCAAATTAGTGTAGTTTTTTTCTGCGTGGTGTGACAAAGGGATCTGAATCGAATTTAAAAAAAAAATCGCTAGCAAAGCAAGATATGAAAATTTGACAGCATTTTGATAGAAAATCGTCCGAGATACGAAAATATATTTAAGAAATTCAAACAATTTATTCAAACTTTTTTGCAGAAATTTTTTGAATTTTTAAAGTTTATGATTCCCAAAGGGCACTGAAAAATTTGAATACAATTTTAGTTGAGTAAAACTAAGTTTTCACGGCCTAAAATAAGCAAAAATAAGCGATTGTAATTCTGCTCGCTCTCATTATTTGTTCGAAATTAGACTAAAAATCAGAAATCTTAATTGTGTTTCTCGAGAATGGGACAATTTTTTGAAGAGTTTTCAATGAAGTTCAAATCGCCACTAAAAGGGCTTTAAAATGATATATCATTCGACCCATCCCCATAATACCTGACTTTGAGTTGAAAACCAAAATAAAAAACTAAACCCCAATACAAAGTTCTTTCCCATTTTCAATGGTCGGAACAAGCAGTTGATATTTTTTGCGTTTTTAGGATGTTATTTTTGAACACTTATATAGCCACGGAAGCGATCAATAAAGCTTCACGAACTTGTTTTTCTTGGCTTAAAGTTCCTAAGTTTTACTTTCTTCTTGGATTGTTTTTTAGTCTATTTTTATCTAAAATATCTGAAAATGCAATATGTGGCTAACTATTTTTTTTCATTAGAAGAAATACTATGCGATGTAAAAGAAACACTCAATGAACTATACTCAGTCACCTGAAAATTTAAGCGATTGATTAAAAATAGCCCGTAAACACTTGAATACTCGACCTTTTCAACATCCTAAATATTACTCTGATAACCATTGATAACTTATTTATAACTTGGATCAGATCAATATCCTCCACCTCCATCTAAATTGAAAAAGCATGATTGAAAATGCCTAGCACCGCCGGTAAAAACTAATCTGATATTGACCAAAATTTTCAGTTTAGAAACACGAGGACTCCATGAAACACGAGGAAAACAAGTAAGGACTCCATTGTAGAAACAGTTTGACTCCCAGAGATCCGCCAGATACCGCTTTCAGCGCTCAACAGCCGACGCAGACATGGAATCCGGAAATTTTCACACAACTATATCTTAATCCACAGAAAGATATTCTGCAGAATCACTCAATTAATATTATAAATTGTTTAGTAATTACTTTATTCCTTTAAAGAATCAAACAATCAATCAATTTCAAAAACTACAGCAAGCACTTGATTTGCTCAAATTAGTTTTTTTTTGCCTGAGAGCCTAAATTACGGTGATTGAATAAATCAAATCTGAATTCAAAAATTAAGGAGATTGCAATAAATGAGACTAGCGTGTGACGCACCTCCGGTGCTTCGAATTTTCGACAACTCATGAAAAACCACATATATATTGGAAACCAGATCTGCAGGCTTTTAGTGTGCTCTGACAGCACCCAATTACTTTTTTAATTCCAATTGTCCGTCAAATCCCAAAAATGTCAAATCTCGTGAGCTACAAACATTCGAGTAGTCATTATTGGAGCCAAGATTCGCAACGACTGAGAGTACCCTGGCAGCTCCCAACTACAGGATAGGGTATTTCAAACTTTGAAGAAAAAAATTTCGTTTAAAATTCCTGAAAATTTTATGAAAAAAATCACAAAGTCATATCTCGAAAACTACAAGGATTTGAGCAGTCATAGTTGGAGGCAAGGTTCACAACCCCTGAGAGTATTCTGATAGCCCCCAACTACAGGGTTGGGAATTTTCTGTTTTGTAAATTATTTTGTAATTTGTGTTTACTGAAAATTTTGGAAAAAAAAATCACAAAATTCGTCGCACTCGTACACTGAAAGGATTTGATCATTCTTAATTGGAGGCCAAATTCGCAGCCCCTTGAGAAACCCTGACAGCGTCCCACTATTGGGCTGCTTATTTTAACCTCGGTGGAATAGCTATTGAATTCAAACTGGAAAATCGAAAAAAAAAATCTTAACCATTGCAATATACGATATAGCTTAAACGTGCAAAAATTCTTTCGTTAAACATGCAAAAATAATACGTTGAAAAAGCTTAAACATGGCGAGATAGTGAAGCCCGCATTTAAATATATAATAGATGAATCTAATTGCAAGAAAAAATAACCAGCTCTAAGTAACCTTTTTAACTCCTAATCTGCAAAGCTGCCAGGTCTGCCACCAAAAATACTACACCTCTTCATCAGTCGTGCCATCAGTTTGGTGAAACAACCTATTTTCGTCAGTTAACCCTCCCCCCAATCCTAGCCATTCCGAAGAGTCGACGTTTTAGAAGTCGTCTTTTCCCCATTTGGAACTATTTTAATTCATCCATTTTTGGACATCCAAAATTTGGACAAAATAATCCCTTCTTATTGTTGTGATTTGACGGAGCTCGGAAAAAATTGGTCGAACTAAAAAATAAAACAGAACTACACTACTTTCGGGTGTTTATTCTGAAATCTTAGACAGTTAAAATTCTGCAGCTTTGTCAATCCGACCATTGGCCCGTGAATTCAAGACGGCCATTAACTTTTTTGCAATTTATGTTAAATTTTCACCCAATTTCATTTACTGTTAAGTATTGATACTGTTACACTGAGTTTTATATCCGTCTGCTTTTTTGTTGCTGATTCTATGTATAAGGTTATTCAAAACTGGTGTCTATATGATTCATGCTTTACCCATTTCTGCACATGTTTTATCTCCATTTCTGACAACACCGCCTCAGGTCTGTTTCGTGATGCACCTTTTCTATAATATGGCTGTATCAGATCCACGAGATTTCTATGAATTGAAAATGCCAAATGCTTCCATTTTAGAATTAATTAAATTCTCTCGCTTTTTTAAAAAAAAATATTGCTAAGACAACGAGATGAAAACTTATCGTTTATTGCAACAAATATCAAAAACAGAATATCATAATTGTTTCAATACATTCATAACATCAATAATGAGAATTACTTCACAACAAAAACGGATAAATCGAAAAACAGACTTCTAATTATGTAGGACCAGGTAATAGCGAGCAGTTTAAAAGAATTCATTTGAGTTACTTTATACTTATAGCTACTTTGACACGATATCGTCAAAATTTTCTTTGATTTTTTTTAAATGTTTCACAGCTGACATTTGAAATTGTTTAAAACTGAGTGAACGAGCTCCCCAATTGCGAATACGTAGTCTGCATAGCAAATGAATTATTTCCACCGCCGCCATGCATTGAAGTGTTTCCTCCAAAACCTCTTTGCTTGTTCTGAAATTAAATAGATAAAAAACAGTTATTCTGCGCAGTGATTATGAGCAAACCTGATAATTTGCAAATACTTCCAGGATCTAAGCTTTTTTTGAGAAGGGAACTTTCATTTCCAAAAAACATGAAAATTGAGTTTTCCATAACTTACTTTCGCACCAAACAAATTGCCAAAAATCACATTAAAAAACTGATTGCGAAAAAAATGTAATGAATTCTCACTAACTTTGTAGACTCCAGATCCTCTTTGCAGCCCGTATGGATTGTATGCGCCCCCCTGCAAAGCTGCTCCGCCTCTGTCACCAAAAATACTGCCTCCTCTGTTCATCAGTCGTGCCCTGGTAAAACTACCTGCCCTCTCCATGGGGTTGAACATGCCCCCTCCTCCTCGACCACCACCCATTCCGAAACCCCGCCCTCCCCTTCCCATGCCACCGAAGCCCCCACCTCTACCACGGAACCCATCTTGACGTCCCATGCCCCCCATCTGGTAAGCATTCATTCCCCCCATGCCTCCTCTTCCTCTGGGGCGTCCTCCAAATGACCCACCCATCGCTCCGCCCCTGCCTCCTGGGTGCATTCCGGGTGCAAAATTTGCTCCCCCTCTCGGCCCTTTGATTGCCTCGACCATTCGCTTGGCGATTGGGGTAAGTGGAACGTGTATCTGGAAAATAAACATTTTATATTTTACCTTTCAATTTAAGCCCCATGAAACTTCGAACACCCACTCTATTTTCTAGAAGCATACTTTTCAGATCGATAGTGGCGGTTAAAACGAGCACGGATCATAAGGTTTAGACGTCGAATCTTCGAATTTTCGACAGAGAGGCAGAGAAGTATTTTTCGACAGAGAGGTCGAACCCAACAGAGAGCGATTTCATTTCCGCGCACCCGCCTCTGAAATCTTTCGTATAACTTAATTTTATAACTAGTTATTGATGGTATTATTGACGTTCGTTGACCTACCGTGACCTCCATCTGGCAGTCCTTGATGAACTGGTGGTTCTCCGCCTCCACTGCACTTTCAGCCCCACTCCTCTCCTGGTAGGTGATGAATGCATGCTGCCCCGTCTTATTGCACGACTTGATCACTCCGTGCTTCCCAAATTTCTCCTACAACAAGTCGCAAATAGTTGTATCCACTGTTATAACTACAAAAATAGCAAAAAGTTGGAGCAGAAAATATTAAACAACGTAGCCAACTGACAGTTGGAAAAGAGTAATGAACGCAAGGAAACTGAAAAAAAAGTAATGAACGCAAGGAAACTGACTTGTTTTTTCAAAAACCTTCAACTTTGGAATTTCGAGGAAAAAAATAGATGGCCTTGAAGCACTTTGAATTTGTAGAACAATTTATTTTGGACAAATTTTTGTTAAAATTAACCCAATTTGAGAAAACTGGATCAATATGTTAAATTTTTATTTCGCCGGGAAATCTGATAATTAATTTCCATTTTCGAAATTAGGATTCGATCACGTTTTTTGTGACCTTTACACTTTGGCTGTTCGATAATGGACTTTGCCTTCCTTTTAACAATAGAAATGCACTGAACTTAAATAGAAATCACAAGTCAAACCGAGAAATTTTCCCGAAAAAAAACCAGAAAAAATCACTAAGACCTATATAAGAGTACTCACTACGTTCATTACAAAAAAGAGAAAACCCACCAGTTAAGTTTAAGTCGAGATAAAACGCGGTGAAACCCTGTCGAGACATGATTTTACCCTAATTTTATCGAGACTTCTAAATTCTTAGGGATCTTGTCACAGAAATTACAGCAATGCAGTTAGCGCAGATGATTTTCAGCAACCTGTGGAATGTGGAACAAAATACTGATATCAAAATACTGATGTTCAAATATCTCTCGGGAATAATTTTGTTCGCTTATCGACAAATATATTTTTTGAAACGTAACCATCTGAGACGGTCGATTAGTAACAACCTCTTTGTCTCTATTGAGAAAATTAGTTCGAATCCCCAGCTAAGCACAAAACCATACAAAAATCGAGCTTTTAATTAACCAGAAATCGTTCGATCACTTCTCACAAAAATTTGCCAAATGCATGGGCCTAATTCATGTCGATGGGACAAATTTCGCAAGCAAAGTACCTTTTCAAGCAACCTTGAGGCATCAATTGTCTCGAAAACAAGCATCTACATGCAAACTAGCAGTCTCGGTAAAATACGTATCCAATTGAGGAAAAAATGAGCGAAAAGTTCACTTAAATGTGTTTTCGACGACCTCAATTTTTTTGTAAAAGCTGTTGAAGCAATGAAACTTTATAATATTTAAAATTGCTTTGATGGCTTGAATAAAAATGCAAGCACGGATAAGCAACCAGAATTTTTTAAACAATTCATGTGGCATTGATGGCTTGAATCTGTTGGCAAAGTTGCAAAAATATGTATTTCAAGTTGTATATCTAGAAGCTGCGCAAGCAATGATACTTCAAAACATTTCAAATCATTTTGAATTTGAGCAGGCTCGCAAAATTCAAGTTATGTTAAGCCGGCTATTGAAGATTGCATTGGTTCGCAAAAAGGCCGAATTATCTTAAGCAAGCCTTCTGTTTCTGTTAAGTGTTCTGAGGCCTTTAGTTTCCACCACATTAGTTTTGTTAGTTTGAAAAGATGTCAAAAATATATTTTCAACAATTTACTATAGCGATGACAGAAAATTGAAAGCTTGAATCGGTTCGCGGAAAAATTAAAAGCAGCAAAATTTTTAGACTTTTATTTGTTGTTTTGATAGCTTGAATCGGCTCGCAAAATAGGAACACTTATCCTGGGCGAGCTGCTCGAGCAACAAAACTTCGATAACAAGCAAAATGCTTGTTAGCATGAGTCAGTTCGCGTTAAGTTAGGCTATCTTGATAGAGCGATACAATACAAGCGGTGAAAAAATTGGAAACTTTAAATTAGTATGGATAGCTTAAAACGGTTGGCAAAAATAAAGCCAACATGAGCAATCGATCGAACTATGCGCCAAAATTTGAAATTTACACAACAAATGGATCATTTCAAATATATTCATGTTAAAATTATGGCAAACTGATCTGGTCCCTAACCCGGCTCAGGGGGGACTTTTCCGTAACGGCCTCCCCTTGGCTCAGGAAAAAGTTCTCAGCGCTGGGGATAGTACCTTCCCGTAACCGGAGAGGTTTAGCGACCTTAGAATCGAATCCCCAGTCTATTTATGGATGCCTCCAGTTAATTCCGGCCCAAAAAATGAAGTTTAAGGTACTTAACGAGACTTTTTTTGAATTTGGTTCAGTGACAGGGGGATTTTTCCGTTTAATTTTTTAAAGTGTCAATTTGACCCAAATTTTTAGTTTTTTCATCTAATTTTAAATTTTTTGGAAAGCCCTGACCATTTCCTTTCCGTAGACATCAAAATCGGATCATTTTAATCGGATCATTTTAAGATACTAACCCTAACTGTTTCAGATTTGGAGTTTCTTTAATTTCATTTTGTGGTTAATGTCACTAATCCCTGAAAAAGTATCCGAGTTGAATAAAAGATACCTCGTTGGAAAGCCCTATAACAGTGCTTTCCAGCGATACTATATAATCAAACTTTCAAAAATCTCGGTATCCCCATGTTCGGAAGGGTCGGGTCAGTATATACGGGTTGAAAAAGTAACTCGATAATCTAGTAGACTTGAAATGTGCAACTACCGTTCTTGTTGTTCCTTAATTGTAAATTTTGGCATATAGGAGTATTTTTACGCAAGCAACACGATTCCGAAGTCGTTTTAAACGATTTCCATTTTGTTGGGTCAATTTTGGCACTTTTTAAATTTTTGAAAACCGCTCCGGGCACTTCTTCGTTTTTTTTGAAACCTATCACCAATTTTTTGTTTTTTAACGATGTTGCGGCATCAATGTCATAAGTGGGCTTTAAACCTGAGTTACTTACCTTACCAACGATGTATCATACATGTAACAAAAAATTCTTTGTTGATCAAAATGTTTATTAAAAAAAATTGGAGTCTTTTACGTTTAAATCAGTTTTTTGGACAATTAATGGTGCCAATGTGTTGTCATGCATAAATAGAAGGCTTATGGGGATTCAAAACTGTGACAGTGTGTATGAAGTAACGTTTTGGATCATAACTGATAATCGAAATAGCGCCATCAGGCCACTTTCGCCCATTTCCTGTGTGAACTCATTTTACTGTTTCATGAACCAACTCAATTGTTTTTGTACCTTGAGGGTCACAGACACACTAAAATGGCCTCATTGTTACAATTCCAACAATTATAAGAGACCATGTTGAAGAGCTATCCATTTTTGACGTCAAGCCATTTTTGACGTCAAACGCTTCTTGCAAAAATTGGGGTTAAGCTTTTTTCTTCTTAATTTCAGGTGTTTCTTATGGTTGCGAACGTGTTAAAATGCTACTATATGATGTTTCAGACTAAGCAGGATCAACATACCATTTTTGATACAATAATGTAGTCACAGTACCTTCATGAAAATTTAAAAATCAACAAAAAAAGAAGTTTTTTTTTGAAAAAATTAGGCCAGCAGAAAAGTTGTGCTCTTAGAATGTTCAAGTTATAGTCTCAGGTTTACATATATAACGTCTACAATAAGACTAGAAGTATAATAACACAATTTGGCCCCAACCTATGAGCGGAGGTGGAAATTGTTTTAGAACTGATATATTTTTTTTCAAACAAATTTGGGAACAGCACAAATTTTTTCCCTGTATAAGATTTATTTTCTTGACTCAGACGTTACGATTCATGACCAAAAAAATTAGTGTCTGTACCATAGATGGGTTTAGACCGCAAAAACTAAGCAAAACTCATCGTATTTTCTTATATCGAAATTTATAAACAAAAACTGATGCAAGCCAGAACACTTTTTATGATTGTTTCTACTGATTAATGACTATGTATTGACTAAAATGTAGTAAAATTACAAAACGTATAATAAACACAAGATGCAGCAGACATGTTGGAATAAATTAGAAAACATCAAACAAAAATTTTTCTGAAGTAATTTTTGCTGTAAACAAAATTAGAGCAGCATACACATTTTTACCCTAGTTAGTTCAATTTATGTCTCAAGTTGCCAGAAAAACCCTATGAAATCCGACTAGGTGTTTAATGAATCAATAAGGTGCCGACCTATGAGCTTAAATGCCACTAATTTGCGATATTTTTTTTTCAACTCATTTTTTTCACAGCAGAAAACATTCCCGTGTTTAAGATTATCATTATTCTTTCAAAATGTACTACACATCATGGAGATGACGATATATGATCTTATATTACAGTGTTTGTCCCATAATTGGTTGTAGATAACAAAACGGAACATAAATTGGTCTGATTTTCCCATATAGTAACTTATAAGTAGAATCTAATATAGCAGATTATTTTTTTCTTACTTCTTATACTTATAAGTGAATATATAGTGATTAAAAATGTTTTAAGTTGAATAATGTATATTAAAATACAAAATGCAGCATATATGTCGAAGTAAATTAGAAAACATGAAAAAAATCTTTCTGAAGTACCTTTTCTGTAAAAAAAAAATTGGAGCAGCAAAAAAAATTTTCCCCAAAGTTAGTTCATAGTATTTTCTCAAGCTGCCAAAACAACCTATAAAACTCGACTAGGTAATAAACCAATATGGTGCCAATCTTTGAGCATAGATGGGACTAAATTCAGATTTTTTTAAACTGATTTCTTACATATCTGTCAAAAAACAGAGCAGACTTCTGCAAAAGCAATTTGAGATATCAGAAAAATTATGAAAGCACGTGTTCATAATATATGAGGGTTTGTTTTGGGCTAGTCCGAAAAAATTAATTCGTAGGCAATTGAGATAGAGTTCATTATATTTGAAACAGAAAATCTCAATCGGGAAACTGGTGCTGACAAGTATTACTTGTGCATGAAATGCCTTGATCGGCTCTTTTCCAGTCCCCCCCTTGATTTTTTCTGAAAGTAATTATATGAAAGTCTATTTGAAATGACTTTTTATGTTAGAAACTGCAGTAAAACGTGTCAGCGTGAAAATGTGAACAGATTTCTAGAACATTTCCAATATGCAAATTGCCGCGTGAACAATTTTTGAACATCTGTTTTGTAATTTAACAAGGGGGGTGGGAAACTGGAAAAGAGCCCCTTGATCTTTGTTGTCAGTCACAACATCCACAATTCAGAAAACACGTCGAAAAAGAAAGCGGCGCTTGGTCAGAAGAGTTTATATGATTATAGAGTTTATATGATTATATGAAGCTCCAAAAATAAATTCAAATGTCGAAATAGTTCAGAAGTGCGCAACATCAAACACTGATCAGCTCCAAGTCTCAACCTCAAGCGGCCCATAGCGTGAGCGAGAAATAGTTGATGATACCTTGACCTATTGTAGCGCATGCAATGGTAATGGTTTAAGTCGTTCAAACAAACAGAGCTCACCTTGAAAACGTGCACCGGGTTGATAAACAATATCTCTCGATTATTACCAGGGTTATGCTCTTGGAAAACAGCGATTGGCGAGATGAAACCAATGGAAAAAGTACGTTTGTCTGCATGAAGAGTGTCTTATCGTGTATGGTAGAAGAGGTGGTCATACATATAAACTTGTTAAAGGACGAAGAGTTGTCCGAACACTGTCTGATCTACCAAGTACATAACAAAGGAGTTAGAAAAGCGAGTATTTATCGAGGAAATCAAAACTCCCCATGGAAAAATTGATTTCGCATTACATCTGACAGAGTTCAAGACATCTGCAATATTAGAGTGGCACAGAATTGGACATGATGTTATCATCCCGGAAAACGTCGTTTTAGTTTGTAGTCGAGTAAAGGATTGTCTTGTGCTAACGGAAGGTTTGAACAAGGTGTACAAGATTACAGAATGGATGAACCAATATAAAAGGGTGAGAGCCGAAAGCACGATGCAAAATTGGTTAAAACATCTCCAGCGCTTCGTTGACTTCTTGCTAACCAGAATCGAGTACGGCAGCAAAAACCCCTATCTCGACGTAGTTGTCATTGAGAAAGAGATAGCAAAGAGAATTAAGGCCCTCAACAGACCAAAACCGATCCGAAACAATATTCTCATTGATGGCGAAGGAGAACAGTTACCAGATAGCTACCTTGTCGAGATGGGCGGGTGCAACACAGGATTATTTGGAGGAAAAATTATCAGACATTGACAGCATTTCGGAAACTGACTACCGGGTAGTGCAGTATAACTTCCTAGCACTGTTGATTATGTATTCAGGATTAAGAGCTGGAACGATCATCAAAATCGAGAGGAACTATTTGCAACGAATGTTCTTTGATGAAGAATGCCAGGTGTTTGGCACGAAATTGATCCCTCCTGAAGTAGCGGAGCTTCGCATGGGCCTTGCACAATGACAAAGGATATATCTTATTTCGAAAAAAAGTCGGGCGCACACACAACAACTTCAAATTTTCTGGCAAAAAACTTTGAACCAAATGCTAAAAGACATTCTGGACAAGTATTTAGATCTGAGAACCAAATTGGAGCATGATCAAGAAGAGTACCTATTGTGTCCTCTTTCATTGAAGAACCCATCAGAGACACAACTCCTAAACGTCATGAAGAACTATTGGAGGATTCGAAAAACAGCACGCCACTGTGAATTTCAATGGAGACAAAATCAAAAAGGCTATGAGCACGCACTTTGCTTTAACAATTCAGGATCCAAATGCAATGAAAGCTATTTACGAACAAATTGGTCATTCCAGTACAGTTGCTAGAAACAACTATGAAATTGGCCGGAACACGTTTAAATCAAGCAAGTTCACAAGCAAACCATCGTAACAATCTGTTTATTCAGGAAAAGTTGTACAGAGACGCTTTTTTGATGAGCTTGATATTTCAGGGTGAGTTAAATTTGAAAAAAAACAACTCGGCGAAAACAGCTGATTTTTTGAATTTTGTTCACGGAGAAACTAATTTTTCACCAATAAACACGATTTTTGTTATTTCGATTTATCTATACCATGGATCATAGCACCTATATACTGATATTCGTCTAATATTTGTAACAAAAAATGGTTTTCATTATCGTAAATTCATTTTTTTGTAGAAGGTTTTGGGTCTCTGAAAAACCGGCACTTGGACTGAAAAACCGGCACTTTTTTCTCAACTTTTTCGAAACCGCATAGAATAAAGCTTTCTTATCATAAAGAAAAACGAGACCTCCAAAGATTGCAAAACCTTTTTCTGTGATTGCCGAGATCACATACGAACTCCTGGATATGTATCCATTTCGTCATTTTGAAAATAATTTTGACAAAATTTTGCGTGTCTTCTCTGCTTTTTTGCTAATTGGGTAATTTTCATCTTTAAAAATGATTAAAATTACGTTCATTTAGGATATAACTAATTTAACACATATTTGGCAAAATTGTTCTCAAAAAGTAACCTTTAATGTTGGTTTTGGTTTTTTGGGGGTTAACTTTACTAAAATTGATCAAAGGGACTTTTCCGATACTAAGGGGACTTTTCGGGGTGCTTAGGGAACTTTTCAGGGTACCGGGGTGTTTTTCGGGGGACTTTTCCGTTACTTAAAACCCCCGGCTCAGGGGACTTTTCCGTGTGGTAAGTAACGGAAAAATCCCCTAGAGCAGGACCACCCAATTTCGGTTGACTGATCTTACACCCAAACTTATTCCATCCCGCCAACTGCTTTAAAGGAGGCTTGTTTTCTTCGTTCTTGTCGTTCCCAATATTTTTGTCTTTCCCAATATATTATCCTGATTTTCTGAGTAAAATCGATCCAATTTCGTAATATAGAGAGTCGTCTAAATTGGGAAAGACCCTGTAGGTTTTGCAAAAAGTCGAAAAAACATAATTATTTACAAAACTTTTCAAAATTAAAAAGCTTTACGTTCTGTTTTTAATATGCGTGGTAGGAAAAAATAATTGCAAAAAAAAACTTTTTTAATTACTGGGATATGAGGAGGAAATAAAAAATGCACAAAATGCGATAGGAGCTATAAAAAATTAGACGAGTAATTTCAAATTTGGCAATAATGATTCAAACTTTTTGGTTTCATTTCATATCATTTTTCGTTTCGCCTTAGTACAATTGAACCCATCGCTATACTATCATCCTGTGCACATTTCTGGCTCAAAAGAGAAACTCTAGGGCAATATTCGGCGACCGAATGATTGATTTAGTGTCCCCTCTGGTTCAATGCTATATTGTACAGGTGTTAAATTTAGATGCAGTCGGACCAAACTAATTCGTTCTTAAAAGCAATAGCAGCTTACCCAATGCTAAGTTTATTATTTTTTCTTCGATATATTTTCCAATCTAGCCATAAAATTGTTTAGCTCACAAAACTGACTATATTTATTAAATTAGTTTAAAAAGCGCAGAGGGGAAACGGATTTGGTAAAGTACCACGGGAGAAGTATCTTAGCAATGACAACCAAACAAGTCTAATTATACTAACTTGTTTTCCATTACACTTATAATTCATTAAAGCAGACTAGAAATGTGGAAGATCTTGACTGGAAATCCATGTTTCACCTATAAGTATAACATAATAACGAGACCGATTGTGAGACAAAAAACTAACATGAAGGTCTCCTTGTGTGACGGAGTCGTTGAGTTTCGTTACTAAGATGACTGTTGACCTATTTGCCACTGCCTCGTCCGGATTGTCCAGAGGAATGGCCCAGTCTACCTGAAATTATACCAAAAAATGCAATTAAATCTTTAGTACGCAATTATCACTACAATCGTCATAATCAAACAAACTCGACTTAACTTTTTCTTCAAAAACCTCGAAGATCATTATAAAAGCTCGACTTAACTTTTTTCAAAAAGCTCAAAGAGGATTAAAAACGCTCGACTAAACTTTTTTATGATGCCCTTTAAGCAACTCATAATCACTGTTAACCTCAGCACTGTGAATTCGCTTCGTTTTGGTTAAATAGTATGGAATGAGTTGTGACCTTGAACTTGCGGTAGTTGTCCCATGCAGCGATAGAGCTCCTCTGGCTCATCAGTTTGCGTCTGGCGGCTGCGGCGTCAAAGTAACAGTCGAACTCCAGGAAACAGAAACCTAAACAAGGAATAACATTTGAAACCTTAAATCGAACCGGTGCTCCCACCACTTGTGATACAGTAACAGCATAGCATGGCACTGAAATTAACGCTGCTCGCTGAAACATGTTAAGAAATTTCGGAAAAAAGTCTGTAACGAAATACATTTTGACGAAAACAAGTCAAGGTAGACAATTACCAGCAGTGACACAGGCGAAGCTGCTGTTCGCACACAAAAGCAAGAAAACGGCAAAAAAGTTGTAAACAGCCAAAAACAAAATGAAAGAAAAAAAGAAAAGGTAAAATCTTGGAAAAAAACTCTTGCTATGTGGCGGAATCGAACCTCCCGGCCTTGAGATTAGGAGTGTCACATCCTAGCATTTCCGCCATGGTCATTTGGAATTATACTGACACTAGCCACGCACCAATCAAGCTGCTACAGATGCTATTAAATTGCCAATGCTCGGAAATGTACCAAGTGCCATAAAAGGAGCCTATTTACGACTTGGGTTAGAAAAAAGGTGCTTCGTAGTTTTACACTACGATGATTTAAAACCATATGAAACTTATTTTACGAAGCTGCAAATAAGGCGGCAAAAATCCAAATTTCGAATTTTATACAAAAAGATGAGATTGAAGCATTTTGAATTTCGGGAACAATTTAAAATTGATATTTTTATTTTTCGATAAGATTTACTCTCTTTTGTTTTTGATAAAAGTAGCCTATTTTGAGAAAACTGGGTCAAAAGGTCATTTTGCGTACTGCTGGAAGTAGTTCAAGTTTTTTTGCGCCTTTTCTGCTTTCATAAATCGAGAGCGCATCGCACCTGTGTCTTCCTTTTAGCAAATGAACTGGAATTTAACTTCAAAAAAAATCAAAAGTCAAACCGCAGATCAACTTTGGTGCGAATAAATTTCAAGACTTTTTCATGGAAATTTTTTTCTAAAAATTAGGCTGCACCTCTATAATTGAACTACGTTCATCACTCAACATTGTCAAACAAAATTGAGCTAAAGTCTTGAAACTCAATATTTTCTAGCTCTCATAACTTACATTAAATTCGATTTCCCTTCTGCGCTTAATGAGATGAACGCATGCATAACAACATAGCATAAAAGAAACTTTCTGAGCCGGAAAAAAAGCAAAAATGGAATAAATAGCCAAGACAGTTATATCCAAGAAAATAGCCAAGACAGGAAAAGAGCCAATGAACGCAAGTAAACGGAAAAAAAACTAACTTGTTCCTTGAAAAATCTCAGCTTTCGAATTTCAAAGAAAAGAATAGATGCCTTTAAAGCCCTTTGAACTTCAAGAAAAATTTATAATTGGCACTTAGTTGTTAAACCGGACGGTTCGAGACAACCGGATCAAAAATATTTTTTATGCTCGGAATGTTTGGTGAAAATGTGATATAACTCGAACAGAAAAGAAAAATAACTTTATAAACGCAAAATATGCGTCTAGAATACGAGTTAATTTCCTTCGCAACTACGTTATATATACAAAAAATGAAAATCGTATTATAATCGTATATTTGCATGTTTTATTGACTAGTAAATATTGCAAAAATCTTTGCAATTAAAAATATGCGACTGGCGTTGGAAAAAATGGACAAACTCAACGCTTCGGTCCCAAGCTCGCTTCTCTAAACGACTTTTGAAGCAACAATACAAGCTCAACTTTTTGCCATTACCATTTTGTTTTTGGAGAGCGTAATTTTAAGTCCTTTACATGCAATTTATTTTACTCATAACAATGAAAGCTTCCAAAACGCAGAGGAAATTTCCTCGAAAAAAATGTTCAAAAACAGATTCCGTTAAAGAGTGATGATTTGAACCTCTGTTTTGACCGTTAAGAGAAGACACATCATCTGGTTCCTGAATGACGACATCTGTGAGTTTTTCCACCTCCTGGGAGAAGGCGGAGAAGATCTGTTCACGTGTCTTGTCCTTGGGAATGCCGCCCACGTAGAGCTTGGTGAATTGCACGTTCAAGTTGCACACTATCTTCCGGCCACGAATTCTGAAAAGAGAGAAAACAATTAATTCCTCCGATTAAATTACTTCGCATATTAAATTATAAGCAACAACAAAGATGCTGAATTACCATTTGAAGTCACTTGCTCTAGTAAGTGAAAAAAATGTTAGGAAAAAGAAAAAATCGAAAAGAGAAAAGGATCTTCTGAAAAATTAACCTACTGCACAAGGCTTTCTCCTGAGTGAATTAATAATCAGCCCACTTAAAAAACGTGGAAGGACGTGAATCCCAAAGAACCACAATTACTTTGCTTGCGAATGAAAGAACCTGAAAAATTTCCAGATTTGCAGACAAAAACAGATGTAGGAATCCGCCAATAGAGACTTGGAGCTAAGGGGAAAAGTAAGTGATTTCTTCGATGCAATGCTTTCGAATCTTTTTGCATGGAAGCAATATCTTGATTATATCTTGAAGACAAAATTAGAAAACTTTCAGTGCACTGCAATTTTCCAAGTCATGAAAATTTTCAGCGCACTGCAAGTACATAGAAATAATGAAATAAGATACACCGGAATGATGAAAGAATAATTTTTGAATTAAAAAGGAAGAATTTGCCATGATGTAAATACGCAGAGCACATTATTCAAAAAGCCCATATGTAGAAAACTATAACATAATGTGATTATATTTAATTTTTTAGACCATCCTGCATTTAAAAAAAAACGATTCGCCAATGTCACTGAAGAAGAAACCATGTAATCAGTGAAATGTGACTGTAATTAACTTCAGAACCTGCAAGAAACATGAAAGCAACCGATGGAAGCGACTTTGATTTCAGACAATATTTCAATTCTTTCGGAGGCTGTTCAAATCCTTCCTTCCTTGTATCTTGTCAAAGACTTTCGACAAACTTAATCAGTAGAATCAAGAAGATAAAAAATAGAAGAAAACAATTTTCACAAAACTCGAACTAAGTGAAGATACTTAGTACTATTACTGCATAAACATGCAAGGAAAACTGATGGAAGAAGACTGATAGCCAAGACAGAAAAAGAGTCAATGAACGCAAGTAAACGGAAAAAAAACCAAAACATTGTAGAATTTGTCAATGATGAAGAAACAATTTTATCTAATCAATTCATATCACAAAAAACTCTGTTGTTTTTACTTTACACGGGATCGGGTTGGGCTCGATCGTCTCCAGGCCTAGTAACTTCGGGGATCCACCCATAGGTCGAAGCCATAGAAATGCAGGGTTAAGTAGGACAGTTGAAGTGACAGGAAGTGTGGCGTGCAAGGGAGCAAGTTGGGCACAGAGGGGAGCTGCCTAGTCGGGAAATTCAGTTTAAAAGCCTGCTATAGCTGGACCAGAGTTCGGAGAGCTTACAGCGGGTATTTCTGGTGGGATTGTTCTGAGAGTTCAATTTTGGGTGGAGGGATACAAATTCGGCAAAGGGTGGGGTTTCGGCAAAAAACTTGGTTACTTGCTTTGTATGGTTGCGTTTTAAAATACGTTAAAAAATTCAAAACAAAGGTGGAGATTTCGTCTTGGTTATTTACAATCTACGGCGGATTTTCGTTAAGCGAGTAGTTAAGTACATACTCACCAATTTCTTATGGCCGTATTTGGCGAGGTAGAAGGGAATGCGAGTAGAAAAACTGTTAGGGTGCTGGGAACAGTACGAAGAGATGAAAAATTCAGTGATTGGCGGTTTTTGACGTTTAAAATTTCAAATTCACTATGCAGGTGGGCAGCGGATTTCATTAGGGTGAAGAAAAAACACGTAGAGCATCTGATTCACTGAGGTGTTACACACACCGTGAGACCAAATAGGGGAGGCGTAAGCTAGTTTGGGTTCACTTAGTTCCAAGACAAAAAAAGGATTACTGATACTTTAGGAATGAAAATTTAAGTTTCGAGAAGTATAAAAATCGCATCGATTTTCTAGGTAGCCTTTTAACGAGTTAGATGCTTTCTCGGTATCAAAGCTTCGGGAGAATTGATGAAATTGGTGCGCATATGAGGTGAGGTAAAAACTCTCTGGAAGGGGAGGGGCGTTCTGACCGTTGAAAGTAAAAAGAATGCGTGGTAGCACTGAACCCTGCGGAGCTCCACAGCGAATTATGTCATGGTGGATGACTGTGATGGCAAGTGCTGGCTTGACGCCCAGTCACATAGTTGCTGATCCAGCCCACTAAGTCTCTTGGGAGCAGTGTGTTATGAACAAGTTCCACGAGTGTGCGATGACACACCAAATCGAAAGTGTTTAAAAGGTCCAACATAACAAGAACAGTGCGTAAGGAATGGCCATTATGATTGTAACCGTTTGTGACGTAAAATTGAAGGGTTCACAGTGCAGTGGTAAAGGAGTGAATGGTCGGAAACCAAGTTGATGCTTGGTGTTTGGTAGATGTTTAGTAAAAATGGTAGATGAGCCTCTCTCAAGTTTTAATTGCTGGACAATTAATTGATATGGTCCTGTATGATGTTAGCAGATTAAGGTCTTTATCTGCTTTGGAAAAAGGTAGGATTTTTGATTTTTTTTTTCACGTTTGAGGGATTATGTTCTCAGACAGCGAGGAATAAAAAAAGAACATTTTAGTGCACGGCTAGAGGACACCAGTGTTTCAAGTGGATATTGCATAGGCCATGGCTTGGGAGAAAAGTAGCGTCGATAGAAGGAGCGAGATTGGCTATCTTACGTCTTGTACGGAGTAGTTAATCTGAAGTGTGAGTATATCTTGTTGGTTACTGAGGGACTTTGAGTCAAATTGGATTGGGTGATTAACTTTTACGGGCCCGGATGCGTGTAGAGAGCGCATCACTGCAAAGTTTCTGGCGCCAGTGGATAACCACAAGTCTGTAGGAATTGAGGCCATTTATCTTCTTGGTCATTTGCTGTCTGTTTAAAAACTTATATACGGTTGGGATGTTTGTTCACGGTCATTCAAGAGAATTTAATTGTCATTTTAGCACCCTATTCTGATGCTAGAGAGGAACTTTCCTCAGAGAGAGACCGGGTGGTGTGGATCAAATGGCCAGCAGGGATATGGCGGTGTGCTTTTCAGAGGACTACGATCCGGAGAAATCTCTCGCCTGTGGTGGTAATAAGAAATGGTGCTAAATCAGAGGCCCGCCTCAATCTACACGGTAAAACCTTTCAAATCACCTTACGAAAAAAGATGTAGGTACTTTTGGGACTAAAAATTAGCTGTTCATTTCAGGGTAGAGGAACAAGTTTGGGGAGGTGATCAAATCTTAGGGATTTAATCGGAGAACAGGATGCAGAGAGTAAAAGTAATTGTGACGCCAGTGAAAAGACGGGAGAAAAGTTTTGAGTAACGCGTTGAAAGGTAATCTGGTTTGATTTTTATCGTTTAAGTGAATTTGGTAGTTTCAATACTGAGAGTCTGGCCGCTTTGATATTTTTCTATATTGAAGTGCCAAAGTTTGAGTAGGCGTTTCCATACCATAGAACAAATGCGTCGCCAAACTCAATCAGATCAGCGAGGTATACGGAGTAACTGGATCTGGAGAGGATGTACAAACTGCATATACGGAGTATAGATGCATTGACTATGACTGCACTTAGGTACACATAACCTGCATGTATCCATAACTAGTGTTTAACTCTTCGTATTGTAGGGATTTATGAATTACAAACAATAAGCCATCAGCTTCTATATTTTCTGAGTCTTGGCAGATAATAACCAAGGAAACCAATGGAGGGATTCCGACTTTGTTTTCTCACATTAGTTTCTTAAAGGACTGCGATATGGAATTCGATTTCAATACTTCGCCATGTAGATGAATGAATTGAAGGTTAATGATTTACTGGTTTTATCATTATTCAGTACAATTTTAGACGAAACAATTGAATATAGACTACCTATTTACCTATCAAGACAATCAATCATCGAGGCAGTCCGTTCATGATTTCGTATAATTTCCCAAAACGCTTAAAGCTAATATTGTTTCAAAACTGTGATTCAGCTCTAATCTACAACAGCACTAGTCTAATTGTGAAGAGAAGATGAATGGAATAGAAGCTGAATTGGCAACTCAGGAATTTTTTGCAGGTTAAGTTATTTTGATTCCGCGAAACCCTTCTCACTTTTCTTTGTTACAATTTCAACTGCCCCATCTACAATTTCAACTGCGATAGCAATGAAAAATAGCAAACAGACAAGAGTAGATGGAAAACAGTCAATGAACGCAAAGAAACAATAAAAAATGACCTATTTTTTGAAGAAACTTCCACTTTCGAAATTCTAGCCAAAAAACATATGGCCTTCGATATTTATCGCTTTGATTTTCAAGAAAAATTTGTAAAAGGCCCTTTTTAGATAAAATTAACCCAATTTGAGAAACTGGATTACTAGGAAAAGTTTTTATTCCGCTGGGAGATCTAATTGAATTCCACTTTCGAAACTAGAAACCAATCACATTTTTTGCGCAAATTCAGCTTTCATAATTAGAGAGTACATTTGCATACCTTCTAGCAAATGAACTTAAATTGAACTCGAGAAGTGCACTTATATCTAAGGGCATCACCATGCGTATTTATATGTGGATCCGCATATAACACGCGGCTTTTGTTATAAGAGCATTTTAGGACTGAAAAAACGGACAAAAATTATCACGGCCTATAAAGAGCTTGAACTACGTTCATCGTCTATTAATCAGAAGCAACGAGTGAATGCATCTATTTTAAACATGGTTCTACGGCCACGCAAGGGCAAAGCCGACCGTAAACAAAAGACACGTTCATCATAAACACATTCATATTCATCAAAAACATTCGCAAACACCAGCCAGAACAAGAGAAAAAGCAGCTTTTTCAAGTGAAAATTAAAAAAAGAAAAAAATCTCGCATGAGTAAGTAAAACTTTGCTAGATATAGGAGTCGACCCTGCGACTTCGAGATTTGGAGTAATACGCCCTGCCCGCTCGGCCACGATCGTTTAACAACAGACAAACACTAGTCGCGAATTAAGCAGCTACAAATGCTAATAAAAAGCCAATGCGATGCAGCAAAAGTGGCATAAAATATAATTGAACACAATTTGGCAAGTAATAAATTAGAGTATAGCAAACTAAAGGCATCCACGTTAGCTTTCTATGAATTCAATTCGAAAGCATCCAGCCAAATTGTATAAATTGAGCATTTTAAAAAAATGCGTGATATATCGAGTAGGAAAATTTTTGACATCGAGTTTTTTTTAATTAAAAAATGATGTAAAAAGTAGCTCGTTACAGTTAATTTGATGAATTCATGGAGGGCGACGCTGCGCTTCTAAAACGCGACAAAAAAGCAGCTTTATAAAGTAAAATTAAAAAATAAATAAGCCTCGAATTGGTAGAACTTTGCTACAAATCGGATTCGAAACTGCGACCTCGAGATTTGGAGTCTCACGCCCTGCCATCTCGGTCACGAATGCTTAGCAATCGGCAAACACTACTCGCAAATAAAGAATAAAGATACGCTAATAAATTGCCAATGCAATGCGGCAAAATAGGCGCCAAATACAAATAGACACTATTTTGCAGGTAATAATTGGGAATATAACAAACTGAAGGCATCCACACTAACTTTGCATGTAGCAAATCGCAAAAGATGCCAGATATATTGTGAAGAGAAATTTCTGAAATGGGATTTCTATTTTTCCACTGCTGTTTGAAGCAAATCGCTTTTTCGGTTCATTTGATGAAGAAAAACGCATCAACTGTGTAAACTTATTACTATTCGATTCGAATGTCAAAGCCCAAGCTATCAAAAAGCCGCAAAGATGCCGCCACCAAAAGTGGCACTAAAAATTGCTACTTGGAACAAAAAAAAGAAAAGCCGTACTATTACACTACGCTCACTAAAGTTCAAGGGTGAAAAACTGCATCAACGATGTTTAAAGAATACTAATCGAATTTCAAAGCATATGCTATCAAAAAGCCATAAGTGTTACCAAATGTTTGGCACTTTGGTTGGAAAAAAAATAATAGTCCTAACAAAACCAAACTTGCACGAAATGTTTATTCGTTGAAATTGTGAGTCTTCTATTTTTTCGAGATAATTATTTTTATTCGCGATCAAAACCCTGACTTTACCTGCAAAACAAATACCAAACTTGAAAACTTAAATAAAAATGCAACTTGGTACAGAAAATTAACAGGAATCTTCAATTTAAGATAAACAAGGAGCTTCACATAGAAGCTTTACTTCGCAAGCACAGGCATTATCCTGGAAAAAAATATCACAACGGCATAAAAGGGAAAAAAACGCATGACAACGGCACAAAAGGACAAAACGAGCACATTCCTTCGAAGAAAATCGACTTCGAAAAATTTCAGGGCGAAGCTGCGCTCCGCAAAGATTATCGAGAACACGACAAAAAGCAGCTCTATAATCGGCAATAAGATAAATTAGAAATAAACATCAAAGTAGTAAAAATTCGGCTACGTGCCCAGTTCCATCCTGTGACCTACAGGTTATGAGTCAAACGCACTAATCACTCAGCCACAGACACTTAACTAATCAAAAACAGTAGCCCCAAATAAAGCAGTTAACAGATGCTACGAAATTTCCAATACTAGCCGAATTTTTGCAAGGAGCACTAAATAGACCAACACAGTTTTCGTGGAGCCAACTTAATTCAAAAAACTTCAAGAAATATTAAGTAATAGATTCCAATAAAACAGTTTATGTTATATAACCGATAACATCGTGAATCAATTAGATAACTCAGTTTCCTGTCTTCAGTCTTCAGCGAACCTTTAAAACCGTGTTTTTTCAAGACCAAGACTTCGTTTCACTATTTATCATCGCAGCTCAAATTGCAACTGAAAGGGATTCAGTATGAGTTATCACTTGACCTCTCATCTGACATTTGCACTTTTTAATTTAGCGTGGGATTTCATAATATTTTCAAATCCAGAGTATCCCCTTGAGCCTTCGGGGGTCGAAACAAACAAATATCTTGTCTCGTACCTATAGTTGGCATATGTGTTCACTGCATTCTTGGCCGACTCCTTGTCGCAGAAGGTGACGAATCCGAAGCCCCTGTTGTAACCCTCCTTGTCTACTATCACTCTTAACTCGTAGATTTTTCCGCACTTCTCCATCAGGGGAATCAACTCATCTTCGTACAGATCCTCGGGCAACTTGCCCAGAAACACCTGCAGAACAAAACATGTTCCAAATTGTGGGTCTTCTGTCTTATCTTTTCTATCTTTTTGTTTCATCTTTTGATCGTTTGAAACTTGAATTAAAACTATTTTGTGATTGGCTAAATTTAAATGAAGCCAGAGGATATCTGAAACCTAATTTCACACAAAAAGCTCATTACACGTTTCTGTAATCTCTTTCCTCCCGAATAAATCTACAATACGACCAACGGTTTTTGACAATCAAAAAGTGAAGATTATTAAAAATCTACAACAAAAATAAGTTCAACCTCTACTCCTTGCGTGGGTTTTGGCCCAGTCCAGTCAGGAGGGGGTCCCCCGTATCTCCTGAGAGAGGGCGTCACTTCATGGGGGTATCCAGTCCTGGCCAGAATTGCACTCATCGCGTCCTCGTTCGGACCACACTTGATAGCCATCGGCTGGAACCCCCCACCGCCCCCATACATTCCCATCGCACCCTAGAAAAAGGAAATAGCATTCAACAAAAAAATCACAATTAATATCCCAGCTCAGCTTTTCATTGCAAATCAAACGTTTGTTTTTGGCAGATAAAACCTTCGCTGAAATTTTGCTAGGGAAGGGATGTTCCTAAAAGGCTTTGAATGTTATGATTTTAAATTTTAGTTAAATATAGACAATATCTAAATCTAAAAACAACGATCGGTTCCGGAATCAACGTAATTTTGATAAGCACTAAGTTAAAACCACTAAATTTTGGATTGCTTCTGATCGATCGATTAATGCTGATTTGCAATTATCATTATCGGTGATGACCGATATTTGGAAAATCGCTCATCAGCGATTATGATAATTGCAAATCAGCAAGCTCAACGTTTATTCCGAAGGTTTCTGCCTCATTATGATTTACCTGCTGATGGTGCATGGAACCCATTCCTCCCATTCCGTACATTCCCCCTCCTACCGCTCCCCCTCCCATGTCACCAACAGCATCGTAATCCATCACTCCATACTCGCCACCTAAACACAGTCACGATTATTGAAAACAACTATCGCTTTTTTACTACTTCTTAACAACATCTGTAACTTTAACAGCAATTTCATAATAAATAGTTCAATTTTCTCTTCTCAAACTGACCATTAATTATCACAATCGTTTTTCAAAATTTCGCGTTTAAAATTACTAAAAGTGTTACATTATTTATCAATGCTTTGAAAAAATAAAGTTTCACAATAAATGATGAAAACTATAGACAAAATGATCTCTAAATATATATTGAAAATGATCGAGACTGCAACCTGAGGCTTCGTAGCCTCCCCCGACCATTTCCGGCTGGGGAGTGGCGTATTGGTCGGTAGTCTCAAACGACGTCATTTGAGCACCGCCTCCCATTGCTTGCATTGAAGTGTCTTCTGAGAGTGACACTTCCGTCTTCGGTGTTCCTGAGAATGAAAAAGTATTCTTCAGTTTTTTTTTTCATTTATAGCGGAGTAAAGAAAAAAATTACTTTGTTCAATTGTATAAGTATGAAAGATATGCAAACAATGTCAAAATTAGGCATTATAATTATATCTATCAAAAGTTATACAACAGAAGTACAACGGAATGTGTCAAGTCCATGAATCAGTTTCAGGGTAATTAAAAAGCCAGTTCTTCTACCGTTAGCGACTTTTTAAAATATTTTAAAACTTCTATACTCGTGATACATTTGTCATGAATTTTGGCATGCCAGTTAACGGCACAATTAAAAACTCATTCCATCTCCATATACTGTCTCGTAAAATCAATAATTACACTGCAAAATGATTGTTTTTATCTGTTGGAGGGGGAAGAAAAAACCAAATAGCCAAGAAACACTTCTTAAAATATTGCTTCAACATACGGATATTCTTAAAACCTGGACCAACTCATTTTTTTAAAAAATCATTATACAAACTTAAAGCCTGAGTAAAACAAATTTTATTGATAACACAGATATAACACATACTTTGTTGATAACACAGATATGAAACCAGAAAACAGTACCTGTATAAAGGCTGCCATCTTCTACAGAAAAAATTACCAACAGAGGATTACGAAATAGTTTATCTTTCGAGCTAAGAAGAAATAATGAATTCTTTTCATATTAATTCTGCTCCTGGTGATAAAAAAATGTGAATTGGTTAACGGGCACAACTTTTGCTCTTGTTCTGATTTCAAATAGAAACAGAAACATGAATTATTTTATTGCGTTCACAGAATGTGACACCGCCGCCACCACAAAAGAAATATGTTTTTATTCCCTTGCAAAAGGAAGGGAAATGCTATTGGAATAATTCGTATAACGTTTTAAGCATTGAGAATCGAAACGACTATTCTCATTCAATGCGAATAATAACGATTCCTCTCGTAAAGTACGAGCATACGAAACACTCTTCTCGTAAAATACGAATGTACGAATAGAGAATACGAAGTTAAGAAGTAACTTCTCATTTGATACGAAAAGTGGTACGATTTCCCATCTGAGTATAAATAGAAGCTCAAAACTACGGGAATTCATTCCCAACAATTTCTCTTCTAACACCAACACCACTCTCTTCTACCACCCCAACCAATCTCTAAAATAATATCTACTCTCAGTAAAAATATCTCTAATCTCACCGTTAAAATAGATATTGAGTCAAAAGGCAACTTGCTGTAAATTCATACTAACTTCTTTTTTAATATAGCATTTCTCAGCGAATTTTAGATTTACTTTCTAAGATAGAAAGTAGAAAGGACCCTTTACTCCTAGCAAGCGTTTTGTCCGACGTATATAGTTTTTGCTAGCGTAATACTCTCCCCGAAGAGCTCAAAATATCAAAACATAGCCAATCGAAGATAGGAAAGAGTAATGAACGCATGTAAAGTTTCGAATTTCAAAGAAAAAAATAGATGCCCGTTAAGCTCTTTGAATTTCTAGAGCAATTTATGATTGGCGCTTTTTTGATAACATGAACCCAAATAGAGAAAACTGGATGAATAGGTAAAGTTCTTATTCCGCTGGAAATCTATAAAATAATTTCCACTTTCGAAACTAGAAATCGTTCACGTTTTTTCTCGCCACTTCCACGTTCGTATTTGGAGAGAGTTATTTACGTCACTTTTAGCAGATTAATTTCAATTGAACTCAAAAAAGGCATCATACCTAAGTGCATCAATATTTGAAGACTTTTCCTGAGAAAAAAAAACAGCAAGACCTATATAAGAGTCTTCACAACGTTCATTACTCTTAATATTGGTCTTTTCCCGTCTACATAGAGGGTCTGTCTTAATGCTAGTTATTGATGTTGGATCTGTGTGTCTCAATTACCTTTGTAGCTTTGTTTAATGAGTCCGAGGAGAAAGGCACTCCTGTTGTTGATAGTGTTGAGGTTGCTATTCTGGAAAGTGTTCAGCACCTGCATCGCCTGCTGTTCCCCCATCTCCCGGAACGCATCTATCACCTGGTCACTCAACTCACCCGGTAACATCCCATTCTGCACAGCAAAAAAACAACATCATAAAACACTACACTAGATAACATTAGTTTTGAGCTAAACACAGCTTTTACATAATAGATTCTGGACGCGATCTAAAATTTTCTTGAGGGGAGCGGGCGTTCAAAGTTTTTGACGCCCATTCCTTTTAGGTCGACCGAGAGCTGTGTTTCCGAGCTCTCACAAATCATTAGAAAGACCCTTTTTTGACCACTTTTCTGCAATGCAGGCAAATATCTATTTAAAAAACAGGCCAAAAATGCGTTTTTAGGCATTTATTGGAAGGGTTTTGCTTAAAACAATTGCGTCTTTAGGCGCTCCTTTCACTTTCAAAATTATAAATTGGCGCTAAATTTTATAAAACTGGGTGACATTAACGGCGCAAAATTTTAAGCTGATGGAAAAAAACCAAGATAGCCGGTTAAAAAAAATAAAACAAGTTTTCTCAAATGAGCACCATTTTAATAAAATTTCAAAACTATCGTCATTTGAAGACAAACATCGAAAAAAATGAGAAAACTTCATATTATTTTGGTGTTTTCATTTTTTTGTAGTAAAAGCAGGTTTAGCAACCCATAAATGATCATTCAAATAACGTCTAAAACCATTAATTTAGTAACGTTATCTGCTTAAAACAAGTGACAGTTCGTGAATCTAAATACTTCCGACGCGCAAAATAAACCTTCGCATGTTATCGTATTGGATTCAAGCAATGCTATCGCTTGCTACTTGTCAGTGCATTTTTATGAAATATTGTCGAAGCATTTTATCCACGTAGATTTTTTATTTTAAAAAAATCTGTCTCAATGGCGTGCGCAAATGTTTTTACGTTGGAAGATGAGGAGTTAGGTAAGTCACTTTCATTTTCTGAGCTCTGTCGAAAAACTATAGCAACCAAAATTTCTATGACTCCGTAAGAAAATGCAGTTATTAATCACTTTGAAAAATAATGACGCAAAAAATTAGGTTTTCAGTCGCGTGTTCGTCCTTCAAATGTGTAGAAAAATTCGAATAAGTTAATCATCCAAAAATTTACTTACAATATCTCTAGATTGTTAAACTTTCAAACTGCTGGCAAATTTATCTTCAATTTAATCCAATACGGTGTTAAATTTTTAGTTTAAAAAAAACAAAACCATTAGCTCTATCTCTTGAAATTTACCAATGCTAGGTCAAACAAAAAAACTCATTAGACGCACTACTATTTCCTTTTACACAGCTCGGGTAAAATATTAACAGGTTCTTATTCAGGGCGTCAATCATATTTTATTCTGAACCCTTCGAGCTCGCTGTCCACCTAAACAAAACATGGCACTATCATAGTCATATAGACAAACTGCACTCGCTTTCTCTACTTAATTTTTCCATTTCTGAAAGCCTCCATAAAAGCGAACTTAAAAATGACCTTAAAGATTCATTTAATATTTCAAATTGCCGGCTAATTTATTTGAACCCTTAGCCCGTGGGTCGCTCTATTTGCCGGTGATAGAAAAACGATTTGCTCTATTTGCCGGTGATAGAAAAACGATTTGCTATATTTGCCGGTGATAGAAAAATAATTTATCTCTTCAAGTGTGAATCAACTGCAATACAGGTGCGTCCAAAAAACTCTTTGGACGAACTAGTAAATTAACAAGTTTTTGTAACCATTGATAGGAATGAGAGACAGTATGACTTTGACTGGTAGATCATTACGAGGAGTTGCAGCAGCGTGTTCGTTTCCTGCCTACAAGGTACCTTTCTTCAATTTCAAGCATTTCCATATCCCCTTCAAGTTAGAAAAACTGGAAAATCATGTCGAATATCTCAAGCAAGCCTTAAAAACACGACATATCAGGATTCCAACAAAAAACGTCAGGTTCGAGATAAAGTTTTAAAAAATCAGCCAAAAAACTGTTTTAAATAGTGTTCAATGTCTATCTTCATTTATTTCTTTATCGGCTATGACCTTGACCTTGTGGATTACCTGCATTTTTTCATCTGGAACCATAACTTAATCAACACCAAAATTTAACTTACTCGAAATTCGCTTTTTCTTCTTAACACCAGAAGGCCCTCATCTGAACGCCTACCCTCATTTGAAAGGGTCTTATACTCCTTGAAAAAATAATGTTTTGAAAAATTCTCTTTGCTTCAACAAGACTAACTTTTGCGCAAAACAAAGCATAAGCTTTTCAAGCGATGAAAGTTGTTTTGGTTTTTTTTTCTAATTGTCTACCAAAATATTTTGCCTTATGCTCAGAACATGGCATTCGATTAATACAAAAGATTTCTGCGTTTTGAAAATTACTCACTGCTGATTGAACTTCAACAACCCTTCATGAATACTTCTATCTGGTGGCAGGACAATCTACCCTATTCCAAACTACCCCATACCATTCTACCCTATGCCATTATACCCTACATACCAATCTACCCTATACCAATCTACCCTATACTAATCTACCCTATACTAATCTGCCCTATATACCATAATGAGGTATCATAATGTAATCTTTCAAAGTCCTAATAAGAATCGGAAAGATACAGCACGTGTTAATTCATTTGAGTCTAAATTTTTGGACTCAATTTGAGTCTTTCACTTAAGGAAATTGTTCTAAAGACTAAATCGCAATTAGAGCCTCAAAATCTGAAATTTATTTCAATTAACAAATTTTAATCCCCAATTTTCAAAATCACGTACAAGAATGAAACCAAAACTACGTCATTATATCAATTTTCTTTGGAATAACATCTACTAAAATGAGTCAAATTTCTTGGGGTTTATCCCAACAGAATCGGCGAACGCTTGTAATCGGTGGCCACGAGTTAACGAAAAAACAGGAAACAAAGAATGGAAACATTCACTGGAAGTCTTCAAGATGGGGGTCCCATAAATGCAAAACGACATCAATAACCAGAGAAAACGATCTTATTTCCTGTAGAAATGAGCACACGCACGAAGTATTTCCTGGTCGTTCGGATGCAAGGCTTCTCGTGCAGAAAATGAAACAGGACACAAAAATACAGCAAATACCAGTCAACAGTATAATTATAGCAAACGGCCTGCAGTCTGTCTCCGAAGAAAAAGCAGTTCAATTAGCTCTTCCTTGCCGGTCGGCTATTAACCGGGCCCTCAATCGACAGAAGGTAAATGATAGACCCACGTTGCCTCCAATTGTCGACAGACTCTGCAGCACTGAACGTGCAGCACTGAACGCTTTCGCTAGTCACCATACCGGAGCATTGCTGAAAGGCTGCTATTTTCTTTTATGTCAAGCGTTCAACCGGAAAATAAACGAAGTGGGCCTGAAGCGACTGTACGAAACTAATCATGATCTCAATTTGTCATTGCGCTTAATTCCAGCCCTAAGTTTCGTACCAGTTGAAATGGTCAATGCTGCTTTTGACTTGGTCATTGAGGAAATCAAAAACGTGTCGGACAAATTTGATCTTGACGACAATATCACTCAAAAACTTGATGAGGTAGCCTCATACTTTCAGCGCACCTACATTAAAGGCGAAACCATCGGAAGGAATTCTCGCGAACCTCTCTTCCCAGTAAACCTTTGGAATCATTCCGAAGAAGCAGCTGCTGGGTTAATAAGGACAACAAATGCTGTAGAAGGCTGGCATCTTGGCGTTGCTACTCTCTTCAAAGGAAACCACCCATCCGTTCACACCTTTCTGGAACAAATAAAAACTGGATGCTGCAAATCAGAAATTTAAGATAATGAAAGCAATGGGAGGAAACAGCAACCCCAGTCGAAAGAAGTACAGGGAATTGAACGAGAAAGTGAAAAACATTTGCAACAATTTTAACAAAGATTCTATTTTAACCTATTTGTTTTCTCTCGCGCAATTAGGTCATTCCTAACTCAGTTTATTTTAACAAACTTTGTGAATTTTTCAAAAATTCAATTTAATTTCTAAAAAAAATACACTTTTTGAGGTTCCCGTGGCCGTAGAGGGCTGAAATTTTGGGAGGTAATAGAGGCCAATACCAAAAAAATTTTACCTTCTCCCTCACCCCGCCCCCAGTACCGCCTTGGCCTGGTACTGGGGGGTCTTCCCCTCCTTTTGTGATCAACTAGTCAAACCCTCAGTAATTTTCGAATTTCATTCAAAATTTGACTTCTTGGTGATTTGATCTTTCGAGCTTTTGATTTTCAAACACAGGCATTATCCGCTACGCTATGTCGACTTGATGTGATATAACTTTTGTTTGTTTAAGAAATAGCCGCAACGCATTTCTATAGCAAAATTGGATTAAAATTTCTGTTCGTTCATGCTTTGAACTCATTTCCATTTTGAACGCGCAAGTTCTACGTTGCTTTGATATTTTGTTCACGTGCGTCAATTATTCTTTGATCATAATTAATGGTTCTTTGATTTAATCGGAAATATACTGTTTCGGATTCTTCAAGAGGATGGGGTAAGTTTCAATTGTTTTAATTATAGGGTAGAATGGTATAGGTTAGATTGGTATAGGGTAGATTGGTATGTAGGATAGAATAGTATAGGGTAGACTAGCATAGGGTAGATTGGAATAGGGTAGAATGTCATGGAACCTTCTATCTCAATGAAACGAACCAAACTTCAGAAAAGATGAAGCCTCTATGAAAACTAATTGACTTTTGTAAATCTGTCAGTGAGCTTAAAGAAAAAAGACTATTTGCGAATTTTTAAATTTTCCACTTTTGGATTTCAAAATATCCAGCTAAAGGATAATTGGATTTTTAAAGCTGGGCATTTCTCATAGAACTAACCAAAGTTGAAAAGATAGCCAACATGCAGTTGGCAACGAGTCAATAACCGTAAGGAAACAGAAAACAGACCTCAAAGTAAGAAAATATATGGCCTTTAAGCTCTTCGAATTTAAAGAACAATTTATGATTGACACCTTTTTGCTGAAAATAACTCAATTTGAGAAAGCTGGATCATCCTGCATAATATATATTTTTTACTCCATCGAGAAATCTTAAAACTAAATCCCACGTTACTGACTCGCCAAATTGGAAACACAAGCTCTTCGTATCTACCTCGATATCCAGAGGAAACAGAGAAAACTTGGGACTAGTTTTGGGTCTTTTTACCTACTCCGCCCAAAATTGATATTTCAGCATCTTGAACTGAAACTGCTTTGTTTATATCTGATTGGATAAAAGTAGCCAATCAAATTGCAGCGCAATATCAAATTTTTTCAATCACAATTTTCAGTCGAATTAAGGGGTCTTATGCTATAAACGGCCAAAATCAATTTTTCTACATCGTAAGCTGGAAATTATGCGATCAAATTTGATTGGGTTATTTTAGCCAATCAAATTCAAGTTACACGGTCAGTCATTCCGATCAACTTTTTTAGCAGATAAAAATATTAGCCGAAAAGGTGGAACTTTGAGTCAAATTATCAAATTAATTTTGAGTCACTTGTGAAACCTTGCCTAGACAAGCAAAATTTAGTAAAAATGGCTTGACAAAACAAAATTCAATTTTCTTTATCATTTCGGCTAATAATTTCATCTGCTTGAAACTTCGATGGAAATGGCAGAAAATGTCGATGGAACTTGATTGGCTAATTAGCCAATCAAATTCAGCCACAATAATTTCAGTTCAAGAGATGTAGAAATAATGAAATTGGGCCGTTTAGTGCATAAGACCCGAATTAAGAATTAGCTAAATAAAAAGTAGATTGCTGGGTAAACTACTCAATTTATTTCAAATAAGCTGCCCAGACAAAAAATCACAGAAAATAAGTCCAGGAAAACAAATGACCACCTTCACATCTATCAGCTCAAAATTCGGCCTTGTTACAAATCCGCTAGAAAGTGATTGCACTTATAATAGCCAAACCAATCAGTGTTTTGTTCTCTGCATTTATGCATTGAACATAGCAAAATTAAGAAATTTGGGCGGAATGAGAAGAAGACCCAAATATTTAAGACCGCCATTTCAAATTTGGTCGATCAAACCGCGATTTCTGTTCTTCAAAAATTCATAAATTTGGCCTTCACTTAAATACGGTCAAATGTACGTTGAAACTCATGCAGACTTTCGATCGATTACAATTTTCTAAAATGCTCCGGCTTTCTGCTTAAACAGGGTACCTAATGTCTTTCGTTAACGATTATCCCATTTGATTAGGTTGTGTCTATAGAAGAATTGGCGTAACAATAAAGATTTACTTCGCGTAACAATAAAGACTTTACTTCGATGTCGTTTTCTCAATTTTATATCAAAATCTTATCTGAAAAGCAAGATCTCGACCGTTATCCAGTCTCTTTGGTATTTGGATCTATGAGCTTATTTGATATACATATTTTAGAGTACTGAAGACATGTTGGGCATAGTTTTGCTAACCTGGTGCAATTTGTCGATGCTCTCGGCTACTTTGGGCAAAACTCCGAATCCCTGCAGAAGGTCGAATTGCTCCGAGGGCTGGTACATGATCTCAATACTGCTCATTCTGATCACACTTCACTCTAATTCGTTCACACCTCGTTCCAATTCGTTCACACTTCTATTAGTGACCTTAACTGGCTTTTGAAACTGGCGGATTAGAAATGGCCTTCACGAAATTATATTTTTTCAACTCAACAGCTGTTATTACGTCAAATTGTAGCTCAGCAATTATAGTTGAACTTTTAATTGAGTATTAAACTGCAGATTGGAGGCGTGATTGAGTGTGAGTAACAATGGAAAGACTGAAAATATTCATACCATATGAAGTTAAACTTTTTTAAACGCTAACCTGTTGTTTATTATCCTTTTTTGATTCTCAGAAGGTTTACTTTGTAATCAGATTCATTCAGATTTCTATTTTTCGCTTCTTGGATTTTCGATGATCTCTCTATAGGTTTTTTAACGTGAGTTTAGAATTGTGAATATTACAAATAAAACAATTTGGACAGTTTTTGATTTTATATTCAATAGACACATGTAGATCCATAAATAATTCAGACCATTTTTGGTTGAAAATCAAATATATATCTTGGTTATGATACGATAAAATATGCTGCTGACAAAATAGAAAATATATGGATTTCTGATTCTGAAACTTTAGTTGATTTTGGCAAATATTCTTTCAATTTCTTCTATTTTTTCCAAAAACCGATCGCAGTTCTGGCCGCTCCCTGATAATAAATAATAAATTTACAACTGCCAGCCTCGAATTATTAAGATGCAACTCTATTTTCAATGTTCTTATTTGTCTGATAAGAACACACCAAAACTGCGATTACCGCCGCAAAAAAATCACGCAAAATTGTTATAGCAAAAAATGTTAAGAACTGCTCACCATCATAACACTGTGAGCAATTCTTTGTGAGACGAATAAGAAACGAGAATTATTCGCCTCGCAATCATAAACAACAGCAAAATCACATCACAAATATTCACTGTGACTGGCATGGGGCGAAAATCAGCAACCGAAGCTGCACAATAAGTCATCCACATCATATCTGGGCTATGACCAGGCCACAGCTTTCATGATGATGCCTCATAGAAGCCATCTAGACTGTTTTTCCCAGTGTTTCGATCCTCGGTTCAAGACTGAGCTGATGCCCATCAGAAATTAATCGGCAGAATAGTTATCCGGCCGGCGAATTAATCGAGCGGTTGCTCCCCTGGAAAATTGTTAAAGTGAGTCTTTATTATTCAACATATCCACATTTTGAATTTCAGGATCTTGATTAAAGCTTATTACCAATCACATTTTTTCTCAAACTTCAAATAAAACAAGGATAGCCGATTACTAAGCAAGAAGCACTGAATGTTCAGACCATAGTCTTAAAAAACGCAAAAAAGATTAGTTTTTTTTTCAAATTAAGGTAGTTTTTTTTCTGCGTAGTTTGACAAGGGATCTGACGCAAAAAAAGAATTCAGGCATATTCCACAGCCATAGTACTATAGGCAAAATGGCCAACATTTTTTGCAAAAAGCAAAAAATAAAAAAAAATCGAACAAAGAAATTTCAAAAAAAAAATCAATTTTTTTTCAGAATTTTTTGTTATGTTTGAACTTTTTGATTCCCAAAATGGTGCTAACGAACTCCAAAAACTAACTTTATTCGTAAAACTAAGTTTTCACGCTTAAATTAAGCATACATAGGCTATTGTAAGCCTGCACGCTCACCTTATTAGCTCGAAATTGGACCATAAATCCGAAATTTCAAACCGGTTTTTCTCGACAGAAATTTTTTTAAATGTTGTTCGAATCACGACTAAAAGGGCTTTTATATGAAACATAAATCGACCCATTCCGATTACTATTCGTGGTACCTAATTTTGCGTAGAAATAAAAAAGAAAAAACCTACTATGTTCCTCCCCAATTTTCAAATGGTCGGCACAAAAAGGAAAAAAACTAAAACATACCCGGACACCAAGTTCCTCCCCATTTTTCAAAAGGTCGCAACAATTACCCGTTCCAAAGTCATTGGATACTGTTTCGACATATATTTGACAAGTCAATTATCAAAATCATATATTAGAAAATTAGATTGCGAAATTGTGTGACTTCCTCGTCATTACCCTGCGATAATTTAGTCTGAAAAGCAAAATAATCCCTCCCCGTTTTACCGACAATAACTACATGACTTTCCGAAGCCTGAATCAAGACCGAACTGTCTTATTAATAAGAACAGAATTCAAATCTTACTAAGTTTTGCGAAAAAGCTGGCGACAGCTATCTCTCCTGCGTTGAGTGCAAGAATGATCTTTCAGAGCATCTGCTTCCACATCCATCATTTAGCTATCTGATTTTGCACATTCGATCTGCGATACTAAATGAATCCTACTGGCTACAGTTAGTATTTGTTACGCCTTCCAAAGACACCTGAAAAAATGAATGCGTACATGTGAGCAATTACCGCTCTTGATTAACCATGTGATTGGCAACCCCACTATAATAATAAAAGTCGTAAATAGTTAAACTATCATGCAAAACTCTGATTTGCTCAGAAAAAATGCTTTTAAAAAAGTAAACTATCTCCTCCCTAAAGTTATGTAGGGTGGGGGATTCACTTAAGGAGGGTGAGGGGGGGGGGGGGTGAAATCAAATATCTCCTTCATGAAAATGGCTGAAAATTGAAAACATCGAAGTTTGACTTGAATTACAATCAAACAAAGATGCACAGCTAACATGCTAAATTACAATCAAATTATCGGTCGCCAATTTTAAAATAAATAGACTGTACAACAAAATTCATCTGTAAACTATCGATAAATGATACATTCTTAAAACTTAGACTAGCAGCTAGTGTCAATTATGAACAGGGTGAAAATGGCAATAATTCTTTCCGGAGTTTACGGGCAATTCAGACGCTCATGTTGTCCTCAGAGGGTCCGAAAAAGATAACTGCACCATTAATATTCCACCAACTTTTTACTTTTAGCTGATACTCTCAGTTGAAACTGCGTTTTATACAGAAAATTAAGCAAACAAAACAACCAACTGCTGCAAAATCAAGAAAAAGTAAGTTATCTGGTTTAAAAAAGAACTTTTTTCGGAAAAATGCATAAGACGTTAATATCTTGAAAACCTAAGATTTTAATTGACCCTGTTCTACTAGAAACTGAAATGGGTACAAATCGGTTTATGAATTCTGGTTTTGTTTGCACGCAGTCCCAATTTTACGACAAATCATCTTCATCAAATTCTACTTCTCTACTCATCCCAGTTGACCCACTTGCGAACCCAGAGTCTAAAGATCTGCTGCCATTTCTCACAAAAATCTCCTCCGCACTTTCCGAAACTTTCAAATTTGCTCCTAATTTTGCAAACTCATTTTCAGTATAGACAAAATTCTGACCCATTGTTATTTTTGAAACTAATTTTTGGTCACCCATTTCGAATGCTTTTATCAATACATTAAGCTCTCCAGCTAACTCTTCGTCAACGTTCAACATTTTCTGGCTCATTTCAAGCGCAGGTTCGAACCTTTGTAGTTGTAAATTTAACAAGACAAAATGAAGACCGACTCTGAAAAGCATCTTCGGATTATTAACTTCTTCGTAAAAATTCCAAGTTCGCTCCACTATTTCGAGAGACTCTTCGTATTTTTTCAAACTCAGTAGAATCTTGCTTGCGTAATCTAGAGCACTTACAGCTTCGTGTGGTCGATTTGATATTTTCCCAACTTCAAATGCCTATTAATTGTCTTTTTGATTAGCGCAACAAAACATGCTTTCTTGATAATTATCGCAAATTCGATGCGAACTCTTATATTAACACGCTTAACACTTATTAATTTTTTTGACATCACTTCAAAAAGTTGCATCATCCATATAAAGTGTTTCATTACTAAAGAAAATCAGCAACATATAATCTAATTCAAGTCACTCTATAATTTAAGTGAGCGTGCAATGAGCAAAACTTTGGTGATTTATCCTATCATTAAAAACGGGGAGGATCTTTTGTCTTCGGTGTGCTTTCAAAATTTTTCTTTTTTCCACTTACAACAAATAATCATCGGATTGGGTCGAAAGATATAGCATATTAAAGCCCTCTCAGTCGTTATTCGAGCGATAGTAAAAAATCAAAAAGTTTTCCCAGTGTCGAGAAAAACCAGTTTAAAATTTTTGACTTTTTCTAATTTCGAATTAAAAAGCGAGCTAGCAGGCTAGGAGAAAGATAAGCAGTTTCACATTTATTCAAGCCCTGAAGGCTTACTCCACTAAACTGGTTTTCGAAGTTGTTTTAGATCCACATTGGCAATTTTTGTTTGGTTTCTGCAGTAGTTTTTTGAGGAAAACGTTTGTCCAACATGCTTATTTAACTATGGCCATCAAAAGTTCATATTTCTAGGCTTTCGCTCAGATACTTTCATTACGCTACGCACAAATAAAAAAGGAAACTAAATTGAAAACAAAAAAAAAACACTTCTTTTTGTAGTTTTTTCAAGAATATGGTGCGAATATTCTGCGCTACTTGCACAGCAACCGTCAATCCTTGTTTCAGTCAACTTTCGTACACATTTAGGTCTATTTTGATTGTTGTCTTAAAATGTTAATGTTACTTTTTCGCTTAAAGTTAGGTGTACTAATCAAAAAGACACTTTTTTAAGCAGAGCAACAGCTGTCATTTTGTGTAGCTCAGTTGAAGAACTCGATTGGTCCAACGACTTGGCTAGTCGTTCGATACATTGGAATGCACTGTCTATTTCACCACAGCTGGTGTAGTGATTTGAACTCTGTTCGATGTATTTGCAGCACATTTTCATGTCGTTTTTGTCCCGGTAGAAAAGAGCCACTTGCTCTATTAGTTTTGCGCAATGGAACTCTTGACTAGTCTGAAATATTCAAGTCTATTTTAACTCTCCAAAAAATGTTCTCAAATTAGTAGAATTTGTACAAGTTTCATAAAATTTCAGAGCTTGCTTACAATCCCAAGTATACCTCAATCATTGCAGATAGAGAAGAGTATATTTCACAAGTACAAATTTAATAGTAGATACTTGCATGCATGAATCAATTGATTGTTGGGTTGGATATTCATTACAAGATACCACATGAGGGCGCTGTTAACAAGATTCGAAGCTTCATGATATGACCTACGGCAAATGTCTGATAATGCAAATTTTTTGAATTGAGCATTTGTTTTAACACAATGATTTAACAATTGTGATGTTTGCTGATAACGTGCAACTATCCAATGGTGCAAACATGGAAGAACAGTTTACAAGAGCACAGACACGAAAATGATCAACAAGCAGGACAAAGATCTGATTTCTACGACTCGCTTATAAAGAAGATTTTCCGTCCGAACTTAAACTACGATTCACGGCCATCAGTTTTTCAGACGAATCAAACGTGTCAATGAACAAGAAAACCGAAAAAAAAATGCCGACTCGAATTTCAAAGAAAAAATAGATGGCCTTGAAGCTTTTTGAGTTTCTCGAATAATTTATGATTGAAACTTTTTTTTGATCAAGTAAAACCAATTTGAGAAAACTGGATCAATCAATAAAATTTTTATTCCGCTGGGAAATCTGAAAATTGAATTCTACTTGCGATATCAGAAGTCGATCACGTTTTTCGTGACCTTTACATTTTTCTGTTCGATAGAGGAGTTTGACTTCCTTTCAACAATGGAAATGAAATGAAATTTATAAAAAATCAAACAGCGAAAAAGGTAAATTTGAGATTGGAAAACTTTTTTTGAAAAGAAACGAAAAAAAAATTGTCACGATTTAAGTTTGAATTACGGCCGAGTCTTTAAATGCCTTGAAAAAAATGCTGTGCTGAATCATATGACCTTCTAGCATCAATAGTATACTATTTATCTAGTATTATTTGCACTATGGGATTTTATTTGCACTATGTTTGCACGGGGGGTTAGGAAATTAGACGATAAGCAAATTAGACGTGACCAACACAAACGAATTTAGACGTTAAATTATTTTTGCAAAACTAGCATTTTAGACGGAAAGCAAAGGGCTACCAAAACTTATTGTCCAAAACAAATTTTCATATTTACAAAAATAGTGTATGATCCCATTGCATATCAAAATATTTATCACAATTGATTTATAAAATGTTAAATTCAAGATTATAAAACGTTTTTGAAATGCATAAATTATACAATTGCGGCATGTGAAAAATGCGGAATGTGAAAAATGCGAAATGTGAAAAGTTGATTTGCATTTAAGAAAGCTCGAACGAAAGTTAATTGTAGTCGGTAAACAAATTTCAGACACGAACAATACAATTACGTCTAATTTCCCTTATTTGTAATTTTGCATCGACGTCTAAATTCGTTTTAGTTGGTCACGTCTAATTTGCTTTTCGTCTAATTTCCTAGGCCCCGTTTGCACGGTATCAAAAGTTTATGCACATCCTAGCTCACAAGAAAACCAAGGTTCCGTGAATATTTTGAATAGATTTATCTTTAAAAAGGCGAAGCAGCTTGCTCATACACATTCAAGAAACGGCTAGTCGGATCACTACAAATCAAAATGAATGCGACAAAAGCAGTGCCTTGATGTTTGCAACATATCTACTTAAGTCTGAACTTGTGCTGTATCTTTCTTTCAAACATTAAGAAAAATTCAAGAAAAAGTTTGAACGTGCAAAAATTAAGAAAAAGTTTGAACTCTCGCAAAACTAAAGGGTCAGATGAATCTTCGATAGCATCGCTTAATACATTAATTCCTGATTTTCTCCTTTCTGTGCGAAATTTACCTTCAAATAACATTCAGCTGATTTCATAGCAGCATCTATTGCCTTGTCCATGTCTTTTGCGAGTTTGTAACAAGTGAGGGCTTTGTCGAAGTCAGCTGCCGCACTGTCATAGTCAGGACTGGTCTTCAGCTTCCAAATAGAAGTCTCTAGCCATTTGTTTCCCGATTGCATATGCGAATCACCCTCACTACACTTTTTTGACCGAAATTTGTCATCCATTTTCGAATATCTGAAAGAAGAAGAATTACTTTGTACGATCACATTAATGGCTTTTTCGGCTATTCGTCTACCAGATTCGCTACGACACAACTTTTAATCGATTCGCTTCATAAAAAGCAGAAAACCCAAAGAAAATTGATTGTTTATTCTTTCAAAATTTAAAACTATTTCTGCGTTTTATACTAAATCAATATACAATAACAAAATAATATACTGCGAAAAATACAAGACTATAATATAACTCTATTTACATTTTTACATATGATAAATTAGATTAGAAAGTTGCCAATTCGGCTAAGATGAATTGAAATATGAAACTCAAGAAGCGATTTCAAAATTGTCATGAAAACTCAAAAGGAAGACATGAAAAAATAAATTGAGAGAAACAAGAACAAATCAACAGAGGCGAGAGCAGACTTTGGACAAAAGGGACTTTTGGACAACTTTGGACATTATCTGACAAAATTTCTCAAAAAATTTAAGCTACTTTATTTGCCTCAAATTTGAACATAGAAACGCTTCTTTTAATTAGGTGTTTGCTGTTTAAAATTTACTCTGAAACTTTAGAAACGCTTGATCATTTACTCTTGTTTCTCTGAACAGGTTTATTCTTAACATCGCCTTGAATTTCCAGCGCTCGCCGCTCTCTGAGAACCTTGCAACGCCTGAGAAGACCCTTTTCCAGCTAGATTAGAGCTCCCAGACGCCGGAGTAGTACTCTGGCTACTTTTCACGTCTGGTTTTTTCTTCTGCTGTGCCACCCCTTGGGTTCCGGCGCCATTCCCGCCAGCGGCTTTCGTCCCCAACCGGACCGATTTCGCTTTGAACACTTTCGCGGCGTCGAACTTCGTTTGGTACAATGGAGTTTCAAACATCACGTTTGGATTCTGTTTTACTTTACCTCCTAGTGAATTATAATTGCCGCTCATTTGCAGCCTGGTAGGCGCAAAAAAGTTAAACCACTGTCTTGCTTTCTGACTAACTGCTACGTTCGTAAACAGAAATTGCCATTCAGGTAACCCTAAATGAACAATCATCAGACGAAAGAAGGTTGTGAAATCAGATGCTAAGAAGTGCCAGCTTAGCGATCGGTCCAGAAGCCAGATCTCTGGGTTAGGTCCAGCAGGTAGCTCATTGCGAGTATGTTTATACACAAGACAGACCCTCGCTTTGATTTTGTCGACGTAATCTAATTCGAAAATACGACTTCGCTCGTTGAAATGGGGACAGCGCGGTCTCGCGGCCGTCAAAGATTCCTCTGAAGTGGTGCTTGCCATTGGAAGAAAATCCTCGTCGGAGTCAATGTCAGCCAATGATATTCCGTAATCGCCTGCCTCGTAAGCTCCTGAACAAATAACTCTCAGGAATGTTCACATGAAAATTTGAACACCTCTTATTTTTATTCAGCAGTAAAAGCTTTTAACTCATTACTTAAATGAACAAGAGTAACCCGATATTGTGCAACATCAGGCGACAAGTCCTCAAAAGCGACAACTCGTAGCATTTATAAAAAGCCACAATTCGCACCAGTCGACTATACTTGGCAAGCGACAAGTATTAGCAAGCTTAATTGCCAGTTAGAGGATGAAATAAAACAGTGCAAATTGCGCGGTAAGTTTTAGTGTGGCTTTGGGGGATTAAACATCGACGAGCAAATAATAACTATGTTTAGCACCAGTTTTGAAATGAAAACCAAATTGAGATGCATAACACGGTTAGGGTAATTGGAAATCAGCAGACCCTAAAATCTTTGTTTCTTTTAATTCGCCTCATTCGAATCTAACATTTTGGCGCACAAATGTTACACTTACTGATTCCAACATGCCCTTTAATTTTGTCATCAACAAGCGCGGCAAACAGCAAATTCTCGATAAGGGCGAAAAAATCACTCTGAACCGCTATGATATCTTCAAAGACATCCAGCAGGAGATGCGTACAAGACCTTGTAAATCTGCTATTACCATAATTGAAAACGACATCATCAAATTTACTGGCCAAAATTGTCACGAAGATATTCCAAACGATGAAGAAGTCAAGCAGTACGTACAAAAACAAGCACGCGCCAGAAGTTAATTTTGAAACAATAAAATTTCTGAATTTCAAATATTTAAAAAGCACGACTGACGGGTGTACATTTTTGTGTGGAGAAACAGAGTAATATGGAAATACAAAAACACAACCTCGTCGTTGAGCATATTTTTACGTATATGTTTTCAAAGTGATCAGCGGCGTCACTATCAAAGGTAACTCTTTTCATTTCGCGGAAGCAGATTGGCTTAAATTCAGGAGCTTGCAATAACACCCTCATCTAGACAAGACTAAAAAGCACGCACAATCCAGAACTTGATTTCGAAATCTATATCGATGCCTTTTGTAGTTAAATTTGCCAGGAAGACGAATCTTCCTATTGGACTACAAGGATTTTTTCGAAACAAGGCTTTTTTCGAAGTCCCCAATACCCAATAGTCTGTCAAATCAATTCGAGAAAGCTAAAAATGGGAAACAAAAGACCACCAAATCAGTTGAGGGCTGGCACAGGGCATTCCAGCTGGGTATGTGATATTCCCAACCCACGATTTATGAATTTATTCAATTGTTGAGGAAAAAACGAAGCATGTCGGCAAGAAAACTTGCCTCATTACCGTCGGCAAAAAGGCTGCCGAGATGGCCAAGTATGAAAAATTCCAATTTCAGTAAATTGCGCAGCGATAGCACTACAAAAGCGATAAAATTCCAAAAAACTTCAGGGCCTTTCAACCATTTATGATTTCTGTACTCACATCTTTCATCACCTTTCTTTGGACCTGATCAAAGATTTCTGCTGTTTCTAATTGTCATTTGCTACGATTAGTCGCTTTTTATAAATGCCACCAGTTGTCGCTTACGACGAATTTTCCCGTGCCGGAGTGGTACAAAGTGTTCCTATGACAGTGATTGAGTTGAGAAACCCAAAAAAATAGTAATAATTTCCCACTTCCCCAAATTTTCTGTTGCTTTTTTAGGTAAAAGTGGTTGAATTAATATAAAAATGCACGAATGAGATGACGAAAGTTTACACTAATTAGCAGTACTAAAAACAACAACCGAGAAAACATAGCCAAACGAATATTGGAGAACACTGACTTTCTTTTTAAAAAAATCAACTTCGAAATTCACTTTTGAGATTCAAAAAAATAGATGCCCTTTAAGCGCTTTGAATTTTTAGAACAATTTATGATTGGCGCCTTTTGATTAAAATAAACCAATTTGAGAAAAGTTTTGGTAAAATTTTTTTCCGCTGGAAATCTAAATAATAAATTCCACTTTCGAAACTAGAAATCGTTCGTTTTTTTGCGCCATTTCCACGTTCGTATTTGGACAGTGCTATTTACGTCACTTTCACCCGATGAATTTTGATTGAACTCAAAAAGAGCATAGACCTAAGTGCATTCATAAATTCATCAATCTGTTGTTATTAGACTTTTCCTGAAAAAAAAACCAAAAAATCAGCAAGACCTATAAAAGAGTCTTCACTTCGCTCATTACTCTTAATCATAGTTTCAATTATCCTTTCAAGATTCTCTCATTAGATTCAACCAAAATGCCGCAAATTGTTGAAAATTTCCATGTAATTTTCGATGATGTCCCCAAATTCAAGCTATTTTCCGACTACCATGTGAAAATCATCATTTTTAACTCACCAGCGATTCGGATTAGCTTGTTAACTGGATTCACATTGATCAACCCAACAGGTATTGCATCTTTTTCAGTCGCCGCAGAACTACCCAATGAACTTCTCGACTCCCCCTGACTGAAATTGAGACCCCCGGGAGTAGGATTAGTCATCGATATTGACCAAGTTAAATTCAACCCATTAATTGTGGAGTAAAACGCTTTCAAATCCTCTGGTAAAATACACATGTGCTTTTGCTCCCAAGTGGAAAAATCAGATTTGTCTGCTTTTTTAAAATCAGACACTTTAACTGACGTTACGTTCGGGTGAAACTTGAGCCAGTCAATTAAGCCCATAGTCAGACGATTTAACAAGGACCTGTAGCTATCCATTGCATTGCCAGTTGAGCTTTGGGCACTATTTTGGGCAATATATTTAGTAGATGAGCTCGATGAAATGTTAACGTTGGGTAAAGGGGGATGCATTGCATTCTTTAAAGGCGGTGATAACGGAGATGTTTTTGGAACTGAAGCATTTGCGTTAACGCTTTGGCTTTGGTTGTGATTCGACGCCGATATTTGAAGTGGGGTTGTAGACGTCTTCTCATTGTTGACCCTAGTTGACCCCGAAGTGACCTTGACTGAACTGTCGTTTGAGGTCGCAGATGATGTGCGGGATGCAGTGGTGCTTCCAGATATAGTTCCATTGGGCGAGTCAGCCGAAGTAGTCATTATTAACTTGCAAGTGCATCAAAAATCTGAAAGTATAGGCACCTAACTTGAATATGCATCTTGACCAATCGGTCGCGGTACAAATGACACAGATTGTCTTACCGCACTTATATAAGCCAATAGGCGATTTGGAAATCTGTTGAACTGAAGGTTATTGAAAAAAACATGTTTTATTTAGGCCTCAGCTTTTGAGCTTCATAGAGCAAATTACATCGCAGAAAAGCTTTATCCAATTCAAATACTGTGATTTTCGTTTTTCGATAACAACTAACCTTATTTCAGAAAATTATATTTATGGAGACTTTTTAAAATTCTGCTGGGAAAAATAAAACCCCAGTTAAAGTTTTTATGGATACTGAAGTGAAAGCGAAAATTCAACTGCTTTTTTGTTACTTCAGCTCCAAAACTAATGATAATAAATTGTTTGCAAATTAGATTCCATTCATTGTAAAAGTTACTATATTTACAACCAAACGAAATCTCATTGCAAGAACGCCGTGGAACTATGCAGCCCGTTTTCAGAAGCCTCTGATCCTGCTATGACTTTTGTTAATTTTTAATATCGATAGTTAATCAAGAAATCAAAAAAAAAATTAATGATTTAAAGAGGAAAAAAAATTTCAAGTGAAAAGGGGGAAATTTTCAGCCGTATACCTACCCTTGACAGCAAATCTTTTTTTAAATACTAATTCTACTCAAAAATGAGTTTCAACAGTTGATAATTTCATAAAATTGTCAAAAAAATCATGGTTGAAGATTTGTAATTGATATTGTGTGCAGCTCTGAATCTTAGTTACAAAATCTGGGTAGTATTTTAGAAAAAAGTTGAAAAGTTTTCTAATTCTAACATTTGCAGAAGTTTTTTTGATAACCCTTTGATTGCACAGGTATCTGCCTATCTAAAACTCCCTTACTCAAACTTGTATTCAAACTTTTCTCTGTTACAGCTACCTGGACAATGGCCGATACGACTCTTTTTTCAAAACCTTACATAGTAACTTTAATAATTCATAGATATGTAATTCCTTTACGAAGAATATTTTGCGTTTTGTCTCAGTTCTTCAATGCTTTATTTCTTCTCTTAAAACAAATAACTTTTATAAGCCGTTTAGTTTTAAATTCAATTGTTTCTAATTTCGTTTTGTCTGTTGACGCATAAGCCAAAACCCTGTACTGTAAAATGGGTTTCACATAAGCGTTATATGCTTTCAGCAATTGATCTTTACCTAATACTTTCCTCATCCTGTAATACATCCCACAAAACCTCGACAATTTATTTTCAATTTTTGTAATATGATCAGTGAAGGAAAGTGTAGAGTCAATTTGAACACCTAAATATCGGAACAATTGTTTTTCTTCAATAATTATTCCATTCATTTTGACATCTGATTTACCGCTGCTCTTCTTAGATAGTATCATTGTTTTTGTTTTATCTTCATTTAAGGTCAGCTGGTTTTTTTCTAGCCAACTTGCTGTTTCGTTCAACGCTTCTTGGTGTTTACCGGTTAAGTCACTGTTTCTAGCTGTTGTTTTTATGACAGTGTCGTCTGCATATAAAATCAGATTACTTTCACTATTTTCATTAAGCTCAATATCATTTATATAAATGATGAGAAGCGGGCCTAGTATGGATCCTTGTGGTACTCCATAATTCACATTTTCATTTTGAGAGCGTTTGGTTTTAGTGGCAACCTAGTGTTGTCGGTTTTTTAAATAAGGTTTTAGAAGATCAAAAACAGGTCCCCGAAAACCATTTGCGTCAAATTTCTCAAGTAAAAGGTTGTGGTCAACTGTATCAAAGGCTTTCTTAAAGTCAATGAATGTGCACTGTGTCTTCGTGGTATTAGAGTTCCAATCTTGACGCACTTCTTCTATTAGGGTTATCAAAGCATCAATTGTACTCCTTTTTGATCTGAACCCAAACTGGCAATTTTGTAGTAACTGATACTTAGTGAGATATTGGTTCATTCTGTTATAAATGAACCGCTCAAAAATTTTACCTACAACTGGTAAAAGAGAAATTGGCTTCTTTGAATTTCACTTTGCGTTATATCAGCTAAAAACATTGAGTTAATTTGCTTTCTGACTCCAAGTATTAAAATTCCTGGCCAATTTTTCTCCAATATTTGCAAAGTCGTTAAATTCATCAACATTTATGTTTTTTTCTTCCTGGTCGTTGTTTTTGGTAGCACATGCTGGTCATTATACAGACGGAAAAATTCTCTGCTGTTGTTGTTGGATTCCAACCGTAATTCGTTTTGATAAAATGCTTTTTTTTCTGACTCAGCATTTTGCGAACTAATTTGCTTTGAGATTCAAATTTACTTCTGGCTTCAGTGGTTGCAGTATTTTTAAAAAAAATTCTAACCCGGTGGTTTTTCGATGCTGCATTTTTCAATTCAAATCAACCCAGTGTTTCGAAGTTTTTCTAATTGATGTTTTTTCTGGTAAAAATGATTCAATGTTCTTTGAGCTTTTCGTTCAACAATAAAAAAATAGCTCATCGCAATTAAATTGGCTATTTTTTGTTTCAACATCAAATAAATTTTCATCTAAAGACTCATTTAGTTCTTTCAGAAAAGATTCCGATTCAAGTTTGTACCATGGTCGGGTTTTGGTAATAAAAGGTTCATTTTTGCATGTTTGTGATGTTGCGTTTAAAATTCCTCCATCATGATCAGTTACCGATGTTTTGAAGATGGTTACTGGTTTTTTATATTGGAAAAAAAAACAGATCTATACACGTCGTACTGGTCTTAGTTTCTCTGGTTGTTTTATTTCCATTTCGTAGGAAAAGATTGTTTCCATTTAATATACTTATAAGTTCAGAGAGTCGTTTACTCTTTCTTAAAACATTTATGTTAAAGTCACCACAAAGTAAATGATGTGTAGATGGTGCTACTATAATATCATCCGAAACCTTTTGTAGTATAAGGAGTATGTGAGTTTTTACCGCGCAATAACCCTAGCTATTGTTCATGTTCTCCAATTGTTATGAAAATTGACATGAGGGTTGAATAGTTATTACAAACACATTTTATCTTTACACAACTTCGTACGATCAATGGCCACGCCGTTAATTGCTGTTAATATCAAGCAGAAGGGAAAAGAGCACTTTTGAAAAACAACATCGCCAACGGAGTTGTTAAGTGTCAATGAATTCAAGAAACGCGAAAAAAATGACTGATTTTATTTTTTGAAATGATCGAAGAAAATATATGGTCGTGGAGCACTTTAATTTTTTTTTTATGACAGTTTTTATTTTTTTAAAATCCACTGAAAAACTGGATCAATAGGTAAACTTTTATTTTGCTGTTAGATCTAAGAATTGAAACCCATTTTTGGTACTAGAAGTTATTCACGTTTTTTGCGCCAATTGCACTTTCGTTGTTGAAGATCGTTATTTGCTTTCCTTTATTTGCTTGAATTGAACTACATAATTCTATGTTAAATTGCGTAAAACGCAAAATGAAGAAACAAAATTTGAATGTTATATTTGAAAAACCCCCACACCGAATTGAATTTTCGAAGGTCTGTTAAATTTCGTACCATTGTTCAAAGCAAAACAACAAAATAATGGTATTGAGAATAACGCAAAAAAGGAGTCAAATGTCAAATTTTGCCTGGAGAAAAAAAACATTAAGAAGTTAAAAGTTGAAAAGTGGGAACAAAAATCAAATCAAACCGCGAAAGCGCAAATTTGAGAGTGAGCAAATTCTTGAAAAGGAACAAGACCTAAACTAATGCCTCATTTCATTCATTGACTTTAAAAAATATATTCCACACGGCGAGACTGAGTAAAAAACCTGCATTTGCTAACCTTGAAAGCTCTATTCACGTAAAACAGTCTCTGCACAGTAAAATGTGAAATTAATGTTTCTTTACATTTATGGGAGGTAAACCCTATCTTCTTCTTGAAAAAAATTTAAATTCCCATGCGGCCCCAGCACAGCTTCTATGAGAAGCTGTTCTTACTTATGATCCCAGAGCCACTCAAAATATAATGTAACCGTTTTTGTAAATTACCTCATTTCAGAATAAGAATAAGTTACTCAAAGTCGGCAATCGGGCTATAACCCATCAACAACTCTTTTACATTATAGCCCCTTGCCTTTTAATATTATGGTCGGCTATATTATACCAGGGGCTGTAATAGGAAACACGCTGTTGATTCACTTGTTTTCCGAAAATACACATCTTTTTTAAATGATTATATCTCATATTTTGAGTCAGATCTCTCATTCAGCGCATAGACTATCGTTGAACTCTTCTTGCCGCTTGAAGAACGTCTGCGATACTATCAATGGCAACACCACCGATACCTCCGAGAACAACTTGACCGCGTTCGCTTCCGGTTTTATCTTCCCCCATGACACCGCTTCTTCCGGTAACGCCCCCGAGTCACACCCATCAAACTCTTGTGCTGTGTTTATATACACACAGTAGTCTACGCCAAGTCTCCATGCATTAGCGTTTAGAACATGGTGTTTTGGAAGGCCCGCACCGAGACACAAAGCGGCGGTTTTACTCGATCTTTTGGCAGAGTTTTGAAACAATTCTAACCGCTTTGTAAAAAAACCTAAGTGAATGTTCAGACAATAAATTATTTTTTTCCGAAAAATCGGGTTTAGTATAATTTTTGTCAGAACAGGGTTTTGAAAAAAGACTGAGGCTTTTCAACTTTTTTATGACAGAACAAAAAAGTTAGCACTTGCACGACCAAATTCTTTTTCCGAGTTAATTAGGTTCGTCAAACTTTCAAGTAAAAAAAACGACCCTATAAAGCCGAGAGCATACACATGCTCTTTTCATATTTTTACAAAGTTCAAAATTTCTGAAATCAATCAGATTTTTATTGAGAACTTTTAGTTTACTCAATAATTGAAAACAACTAAAATTATCATATATCGGAACCTGAAATTGAGCAGCCCAGCTTGCAATTTCTATGATTTACTTGACAGCACCATGGTACATGATGAAAAACTGAAGTTTTAAAAATGTTTTTGAAAAAAAATTAAAAAGCATGAACGTAGTCAACTGACAGTTGGAAAAGAGTAAGGAACGTTTCCACACTCTTTCATTACTCTTAGAAAAAACCATGCCTCGGCTTTTAAAAGTTTTTGATCAGTCATACTTGCAGAACTGCAAATCCTGGGAGCACCCAACAAAAGGGATTAGAATTTCTAGGATAAAAAAACATAACAACGCTATATCTCGAAAACCAGATGGATTTGAGCAGTAACATGAGGAAGCCAAATTTGCAATTCCTGTGCGTACCCTGAGAGCATTCACCCTAGTGCTGACATTCACCCTGAGAGCACTTCATCATAAGGTTGAGAAGTTCCAGTTCTGTAGAAATTTCATTTATCTAAGTTTTTTGTTTAAAAAAATAGAAAATTGTTAAAAACTCTTCAAAGTTTGCATTTGAAAATAAGGAAAAAAAACTGTAGATAAAGCATTCATGCAAAATTAAAAGCTACTAAACGTAGCAAAAAAATTGCATTATAAACAACATGTCAACATAGAGAATCATAAATATTTGTCAAGTGAAATACCAATTAATTAATGTTCAGATTAAATTGTTAATGATTGGAAATATACCATGTGCCCTAAAACTAGCACATGTATTTGAGCTGGGTCGCAAAAAATGGTTCGTGAAAAAACACTACCTTCACTAGCTTGCTTGTGTAACTAATTGGTAAGGCGTTCATTTTCAGATCTTCAGATTGTGTATTCGATCCCCTGGTATGGCAATGAAAAGGTGAGGATTAGCTCTCAATTGACCTCTAGCTTCAGCTCTGACCGATTTCGTAGTAGTAACGCGTAAAAATATATACGCAAAAAAACGGCCCTGAACAGCAAAATAAGGAGCTTCGCTCAACAAAATAGTCAGTCTGGAATATGGGGAACTAAGAGAAACGGACTATGCTTAGACAGACGTGATAGCTCATCTGTGCATCGCACCAACTAAACAAAACTAGTTCCCGATTACAACACTTGCTCTTTCAAGTGTTAAGAAAAGAAACAATCCATAGACGTTGCAGCAATTCTTTTTCAATACAAGGCATCAGTAGTTTCAAAACCTCAAACATCGTATCATGAGCACGCTAAATTATCCTGAACAATTTTGAAAAAAAATGGCCATTCTGTTAAAAAAAAACCTAATTATCAAGATTAAGAAAATTTTTCTAAGAGACAAAACCCTGCCTTATAGCCGTCATCATAAGAGCGCGCACATCACTCGCTACATCTAAAGTGATAGTTTTTCCTTCGTGCTTGAAGGAATGCAGAAACAGGTAGTCTCCTATGGCCCCGTCAGTTATTCCGGGGGAGAACACTGGAATATTGTTTTTGTATGCCCAGTAGTAGACCGATTGTTCGTTGTTGATTTCTTTGCCCAGTCTTCTGATGAGCTTCGATGGAGTCCAAGAAACTAAACCTTCTTTTTCCTCCAGTAGCATTTTGTCAAGTAACGGAATGATCCACTAAAAAATCCAAGATTAGCTGTAGAAATGTTGTTAAAAAGTTACAAAAAGAATTGCGAATTGTCTTGACTACAGTCTTATTCACTATTAATTTCAAACCTATTTTCTGACCTTTCAAACCTATTTTGCGACTTTCAAATGAATATTTTCAAAATTATGAACCTATTTTCTGACCTTTTCAAACCTGCCGTATACTCCATCAGAGAGTAGCAGGTTCCCATTTCTGTTCACACCTAATCCGAGCAGATCCTTGCCACTCAATTCGAACTCTCCCACCATCGTGGGAGCTAGACACTTGACAAAGTCCTCCTCTATACCTAACAAATATGTTATGCTGTCAGCAGATTTTTAGGTCGGCTGAACATTAACTTACAACACGGAGAAAGCGGAGCTCCGTGCCACTTGCGATACAACGCAAGCGTAGCATTGCAAGCTAGCGAATAAAAAAACGAACATCACTAAATATTTCAAAAAATTGTTCGAAAAAAAAACAAAAAATAATTTAAGAAAAACTGTCAAAAACATCAACCAACAGCATTAAATAAGCTTTAAGTATCGCCGAAATTACTTGAGTAGGCGCTTACTGAGCCGAAAACAAGAGCTTTAAGAAATTGAAGTCACTTAACATTTTTGCGCGATTAAAGCTCAAAACCACAACCGTCAAAACAAAATATTCAAGCTTTGTCTTTCAAGCGACACGAAATCAGTTAACTAGGCCTATACAACATAACCGGACAATTTTAATCGAAAAATTTATTCAAAATCCGAACGTAAATTGACCAAATAACAGTTCTGTCAATTATAGTAAAAACTGTTTAACTTCGAACAAAAAGTCCGTGAACTGGCGATAATTAAGTTTTTTTTCAGGAAAAACAACAATTTCATACATACTCAGAAATAAAAACAATGTCCGACTGAGACTCGAAATTCAGACCTTAGGGTACAAAAGCTTCCGCGTTACCTATAGAAAAATTGAGAAAAAACCTGGAAATCTTCACTATTTCAGTAGGTTCAATTTATTAGAGATTTGTACGAAACACTGTTTACGGGAAAAAGTGCAGTTCCCGAAGGTCATGTGTTTGAATCCCACTCCGTTCACGGTTGGAGGGTTTCCAGCGTCATCTACCTCCTCAAGGTGGGATCGCCTATGGCGTACTGGATGAAAGTGATCTCGCCCACAGAAGCAAGGCCCACTTTCGTGAGGGAGCAGTGCCGGGGAATATGAAAGGTTCCCGATTACAAGACACTGGCTCTCACGAGCGTAAAAATTCATTTCTACAAAAACCGCAGGCTCTACTAGCTGCAGGAGTCAATCAAAAAACACCTGAGAAGCAGAAGTAATTCAAAAATTGCATCTTAAATTATGGTCAAAAAGTTTAAAAAGCCCGAGTTGCAATTGATATTAAAATTACGCTGCATACAAAAAATTACCTGTTTGCATAAAAACAAATCCTACTACAATTTGTTGAGTGCTTTTTATTCTTGTAATTTTTAAAACCTGTCTAGCTATTTCGAACTTTCTTAAGGTTCGCGCTAATTTTCATTCACATCATTTTAACACAAAAGCGAAGCAGAGCTTCGCACCACTTGCGATACAACACTAACAAAAATTAAAAGGAAAGCCGAAAATGAAAATGTTTGCAAAACAAACAAGGTCATATAAACTTTCATATGTCTTGATAGAAGTTCAGTCCAGGCAAACATGCCAGACACTTGAATTTCAAACCAACAACAACCGAACAAATTTTACGAACAGAAACAAAGCCGACAATCTTTGAACAGACACAAGTTGAGCCGAAAGAAACATGATTTTATAAAAAAAAAAATGTTTAAAATCCCACCAACTGTTTAAACAACAATGGATAATAACTGCACTTGCAACTACAATACAAGTTGTTTACAGCACAATAAAAATCAGTGATGTGGCAACTAAGCCAACAATCTTCGAGCTGAAACCATTTTTTTAAGTCCCGCTTGAAACTAGAATGAACAGCACTTGCACACACAACTACAATGAAAGTTGCTCACAGCAGTTGCCTAAGTTGTACTAAGCCGACCATCTTTCAGCAGACACCAACTGAACCGGAAAAAAGGAAAATTGTCTACAGCACAAGCAAAATCCGTTGTGGGAATTTAGCCGACAAAATCTGAGCGAACAAACGAAAAACCAACAATTGAAATTTCTTGGAGCTTTTTTACCGATTGCCTTAAAAAAACAAGATCCGGCCACGACTCAAACCACAGATCTTAGGGTACAAAGGCAACTGCTTTACCTCCAGGCCAATGGGGAAGCAACCTGAAACATGTTAAGAAAAGGTTAGAAGAGAAATCAAAATAAGGACAGAAGCGAAACGACGTGGTTCTGATTTTGTTAAACTGGTTGTTAACCCAAAAAAAATCAATATTCCAGTCTGATAACGACGCTTATCGCAAGCAAAAAAAATAAACATTGTTTTCATAAGCTATATACACTTTATCAATCGACTATCGAAATTTCTTCAAGTAGAAATATTCAGAAATAACAAACTGTTAAACGTAGTCAATCCTTACATTATTGAGCTTGAGATTATCTTGATTTTGTCTTCTGCTGGTAGATTAACGCTATTTCTCAAAAAAAAAAACGAAACAAAAATTTATCGAAAAATTTATGCTCGGCATAGTTTCTTTAACTAAGACCAATTTCAGTCATTAATTTTCAACATAAGTTTCAATATGCAAAAAATCCCCTAACTGATTTCAAACTCGCTTTAAATTATGTGCGCTTTTAAGCACTTCTCCATGATGCTGAACGCTTAAGTGCATATTTCACGCGGCGAGTTAATCCGCTATGAAACCATTCTTAAGTTATTTTTTATCTTTAATCACAACCGAATATTTGCGCTAAAAAACTAATTATGTTACAAAATTGAACTGCATACAGGTTTTATATAATTAAGAACACAGCCAACAGACATTTGGAAAAGAGTCAATAAACGCAAGTAAACAGAAAAAAATAGTGACTTATCCTATGAAAAAACATCACATCCGAATTTTGAAGAAAATGGATGCTCTTAAAGCTCTTTGATTGGCTAGAACAATTTATAATTCACACTTCTTTTGATTTAATTAACATAATTTGAGAAAACTGGATCAACAGGTACATTTGTCTTTCCGCTGGGATATCTGAAAATTACAGTCCACTTTGGATACTAGAATTCAATCACGTTTTTTTTGTGGCCTGAACACTTTTGCTGTTCGATAATGAAGTTTACCTGCCTTTTAAATAAGGAATTACTCTGAACTCAAAAAAAATCATAAGTCAAACCACGGAAAAAATAAATTTGAGCCTAAGCAAATCCAAAAACTTTTCTTGAAAAAAAAAAGAAAGAAAATCATCAGCACCTAGACTCCGATCATCGACTCTTAAATTTTTTTTCGCTCTCTAGCCACATTATATACTATATATTTTTGATTCATTCACGAAATTTCGATGCAAGAAATTTAATTAAGATTGGACAACCCCAATTAGTTCAGATAAATTATGATGTTCAATTTCAGGAAAACATGTCAAGAAATTCAGTCGCCGTCGTTGAATAAACATTTAAATTCATTTATCAAGCAAAAAAAAGCAAAATTTCGGCAGAAAATTAAGCGGAAAACAAAATGCTGCAATATAAAATGTCAAAATTCGAAAACTTTATACGTCGCATTTCTGAAAACTATTTTTCACTTTACAAAGGACGCAAAATGAGGAAACACAATCAATATTGCATTATCCAAACGTATTTAAGAAAAAACAAAAAAGATAATTAAAGAAATTGAAGTTGGCACTTGAAAAATACAGAACGACAATCAAATATAGTTGAAATAGATCAAAACAGAAAAAAAAATAGGCGGACAAACAATAAGCAGACAAGCGATAGTCCGACAATTCAACTCATCCAAAAAATCGAAATCCACACGAAGAAAAACAAATCTTTCCCCAAGTACAGGTATCGTAAAAGTATGCAAGTAATCAAAATAATAATTAAAAAGTTTTTCCATGAGTTTTTTTGGGTTTAATTTGGAAAAAAACCTATAAAGACTAGAATTCAAATATTTAAAAGTAAGTAAGGCTGCATTGAGAGTTTAAAAAAATTAGTTTTTAAATGGATAAGAGTCAAGTTTAAATTTACTCGGACGCTACTAAGTTTAAAGGGACATTTTTGCCCGAAATATATTTGCTGAATAAAACTTTTTGATCAAATGGGGATTAAAACAGCATAAAATCTGATAGTGTTTACCTCCTCCTGTGGACACTAGGCAGTCCACCATTTTGTGCTGGACCAAGTAGCGAATGATCTCTCTAGTTCCGGCTGTTATCAGGTTAGAGGTATAGCCTAAACATCATCAAAGCACATTCTTAGGCAAACATCAAACTTGAAAATATAAACGAGACTCATTTGGCAGAATGAACCAATGAACCAAACTTTGAAAAAACTAAATCAAACGAAGACAATTAATTGCCATTTTGTCTAGCATCATCTCAAATTCGCTGTTTAATCTGTCGAATAACTTTCCGAAGCAATTGTGGTGTTACTCAAGATAATTTAAGAGAAACTCAAATTAAAGAAAATGATGCTTTTTTAATGAGTACTAACTGATTAATATACAGGGTCTTTCACTTAGAATGTTTTTTTGAAATGTCTATAACTTTTAAATGGAACATTGGATTTAACTGATTCTTTTTACATTTATTATATAACAGATTAAGATTTTTGAACACGTACAAAAGAGTTATAATAATTTTGAACACGTGGGAAAATTTACAGCGGGAAAATCACACGTCTAACAAAACATGTTCACACAGGCTGAGTAAGCATATGCAGTTAGCCTTTTCTACCGTGTTTGAATGTTCACTATGCCTTTTTACTGTTGAGCAAAAGAAACACATTATTTGCTTATTTGCAAGACTTGACAATCCAACCTTAGTACGCCGGCAATATATTCAAGACTTCAAAATCACACCTCTTGAAAGCACAAGATTGAAAGGTCATCATTTTTCTCGTGTATGGGGAAAATTTCAAGAAGATTATCAAGCACCCCATGCGACTTCCAATCGCAAAGGAACTGGAATAACCCAAGATACCAATGCTAAGAACCGTGTTATAGCTAACTTCCAAAGAAACTCTACCCACTCAATCAGTAAAGCCGCAGCGAACCTTGGATACTCAAAAACAACAACATGGAGGATCGCGAAAGAGCTAAAATTAAAGCCATTTAAGATTATTAAAACCCAGAAAATATCCCCAGTCAATTACCAAATGCGACACACTTTTTGCCTTTGATTTATCAACATGCTCAATTTGACAACCGATTTCGCCTCGAATGTCATCTTCTCCGATGAAAAATGGTGGGTTTTGGACTCTGCTCCAAACTCTCAGAACCGGAGACACTTGTAAATCCCGAGAAATATCAAGGCAAGAAAAAGGCTATGTGCTGGGTGGGGGTGCTTAAAGGTACTTTATTGGGCCCATTCTGGTTCGTTGATGCAAGAGACAATCCGGTCACTTTGAACCAGCAGACGTATCTTGACATGTTGCAGTCTAAACTCTGGCTAATTCTTCTGACACGCCGCGATCTTCGGCGCCTGTGGTTTATGCAGGATGGTGCAACGTGCCACTGCACATATAGAGTCCTCACATGGCTCCACTCAAAAATTGGCGCGAGGATTATAAGCAGGAGGAGTGCGATTCCTTGGCCACTCCAAAGACCGGACTTGAATCCATTGGATTTTTGGCATTCGGGTCATTTGGGTAAAATGATATTTGATGCCAACCCCCAGACAGTCCCAAATCTTATGCAAACAGTGGAGAACGCTTGTAGAACAATAACTCCGGCACAGGGAGTGAAGGCAGCAACAAATTTTGAGAAGCGGTTACATCTTTGTATTCAAGAAAATGGCGGACATTTCCAGCAGTTATTATAACTCTTATGTACGTGTTCAAAAATCTTAATCTGTTATATAATAAATGTAAAAAGAATCAGTTAAATCCAATGTTCCATTTAAAAGTTATAGACGTTTCAAAAAACCTTTCTATCTGAAAGACCCCGTAGTTTGAAACAGTTTTTGATCATTTTGTTTTGTTTATTGAGATGCTTCGACAAAAAAATGGAAAAATACAGTCATTGATTTTTTTTGAGTACGAAGTGAGATATAATTTTTAGTTACCTTGTTTTATTGATTGAGACATTGTGAGAGAAGATGAAATTGAAATCTAAACAGTAAGACATTTTTTTAATTATTTTAGTACTTACTGAGAAATATGGTGCACGGTGTGGGCTTCCAATCATCAATCGGAATCTCCTGTTGTTTCTTCAGGTCACCGGGGGTCAACTTCGAGTCCAATTTGGCCGAAATCATCCGATGTATTTCCTCTAAAGCCCTCGCGAAGTAAGTTGACTGCAACCCAGTCGAGAGTGTAAACTCCGACAACAGTCGGTCGAAATCCACCGAAGCACCGCACGTATTGAAGTCATATCCTTGCAACAAGGGTTTTGACACCTGTGCTATACTTAGTTAACTCAGAACTTCAACAAATTTCTTATAACCTTCTCATCTTCTAATACCCTGGTTGTCAAAATTTGACCAAATATTACTATTACAAGAATGGTACTATACAAATGGTATTATACAGGAACTTTTCCCCACAAAAAATGAGCCAAAGAGAAAATTGGGTAGTGTGAACATAAAATATGAGGTCTAAAAAAATAGGTGAACAAAATATATTCCCCCTACCGTCAAAAATTCTCGTACAAGCCATTGAACGGCGCGGTTTTATACATAACTTTATTTCACAACATTAAAAGTACAAATTTCGATCAGTGAATTTTACTTAAAATGCTAATCTGATTCATCGGATGAGCGACAAGTATTTTTTTGTTGTTCTTCCAATTAGCGATGTCAAAAACCTGCCTTTTACTGGACGACTAAGCTTCTCAGGGAAGACAACATTTTTCACGCCAGATAGATCGGAAAACTCGGGGGGCAACTTGCCATTAAAGTTATCCACAGACATTGGAAGTTTAAGACTTTTTGATGTCTCACAGATTAGGTAATGATCCAGTTATTTTGACAAATTCCATAAAAATTGTCTAACTTATTAGCTTGAAATGTACTTAGTTATGCGAAGAAAGAGACTTTGATAGAAAAGCAATTGATATAGGACTATCTAGATGGTCTTATAAGTTGGAAAATACCAAATAAATTTGAGCTAGAGATTCTTAGCTATCTAAACACTTAAATGACGCTCTAGCTGCTTGATTAAGGATAAGATTGTAAATGACTTATTGCTGAAACACCCATCTTTTCAGATGTCAAAGAACAGCAGAAGAAATGAACACGTGGAATATCTTTCAACTTTCACGTGTAGCAGCTACGCGATAATTTTAGTCAACGTCATATCAATTATCAATTTGAACAATATACAATAGTTCAGGTAAGGTCAAATGAAACATCAGATAAGTTAATTCGATAGAATAATGTTCTCTCAAACCCATCCAATATAGAGGCTCCGAGAAATTAGCAGCACTCGTCTCTCTAATGCAAACTCTCAGCAGTAGAGTCACAGCTACCCGCAAATATAAACTCATAGCTTCTCTAGCCTGACGAATTCGAATCTGCAGTTTCCTGATTCTTCTCAAAGTGATGTTTGTATTTGAAAAAAGTTTGCGCCACCAGAAGCGGAAAAACTAGCGTTGCTTCTGCGTATATTTTAACGGGTGACGCCGTGGCTTTGATCTTTCCCCACGATACCGCTTCGTCTGGTCTAGCGCCCGAATCCGAGCCGTCAAATTCACAAGCTGTGTTAATGAAAACACTAAAATCTGCCCCATTACGCATTAAATTTGCGTTACAAATCTGATGTTTACACACACCTCCACCAAGAATGATCATGCCGGAATTAATTGCTTTCATCGCTTGCAGATTCAACAATCGAATGTCTTCTGTAATATCTAATCTAATAGAGCGACCATCGTTTTTGAACGTGTGGAAAAACAACATGTCCCCAATGCTTCCGTCTGTGAGAGCGGGACAGAAAACTGGAATATTGTTTTTGTACGCCCAGTAGTAAACAGAGTCCTCGTGATTTATTTCTTTTCCTAATCTGTGGATCATTTTCGAAGGAGTCCATCTGAAACACGGCTCAACAAAATGAAAAAAAAAACTTGTGTCCTGTTTACACGCGGATGTGTTCGTAACGGGTGTTTATGCATGATCATTTAGTACTTAAAAGGATGGAAATTCTTTACAATAAAACATTGAGGGCGGTGATAATTAATAGGAAATTAATCGTCTTCACAAACAATACATCCGCTCTCAATCGAAAGTTCGAGGCCCACCATGATCCCTGCTCGTTGCTTGAGGGCGAGGTAACATAACCCAGCCCAAAAGAAAATAACCAAAAAATTGCATATATATCTTAAGCATGGGCACAGCAGCGGTTCTCCGTGATGAGCTAAACAGCTCGTATGTTGGTCCTTTCTGTTGTGAATAAATCGCCTTACTCTTAATTCAACATATAAGTTTGAGAAGAACCAGAGAGAGTGTTCTTAGACACTAGTAGGAGTCGATGAAACACCAAAAAACTGGATGGCCCCTACAAAAATTAGTACTTATCTAGAAGCCTTGCTTTAAGCAGTTTGAGCCCACCTGAAGCCTTCCTGTTCCTCTTTAAGCATTTGATCCAGAAGAGGCACTATCCAATCTTCGAAAAGACAGTAATTAGTATTGGGCTCCAGAAGATTCCCAATTCTATTGATGCTATTCGCATACAACTCCGCCCCTTTCAAATCAAATCTACCCACAAAAGTTGGCGCCAAGCATTTGATGAAGTCTTCTTCGATTCCACCGGCAGACGTGACCAAAACATCTACCATATTGTGCTTAGCGAGATATTTAATCGTCTCACGGGTCCCAGCTGATATCAAGTTTGAAGTATACCCTAAATAATCGGATAATACGCAAGAGACTTTAATCGAAAGTCTAAGAGGAACATACATTTAGAAAGAGAACAGGTAGGTCATTTTCAAGAAGCATTGAACAATGGAATCATCACATGAAAAAATTATAAAAGGAAAGCGTTTTCTGAGAAATTCATAGCACATTATTACATTTTGAATTCAATTGGCGCTTATTTGATAAAACTGTGTCGATAGGTAAATTTTTGTTAGTCGTAACAATTTTTATATTCTTAGAAAGAAAATGAAACGGAAGTTACTGAGTCGGAGAAAAAAGTTTCTACAACCACTTGCTCTACAAACACTTGCAAGAGTAATAAATTCAAAAAAACTATGTACTTTTAATCAATTTGAGAAAATATGTCAAGTAAAATAATCAACGCCGTTACATAAGCATCAACAGATTTTACCGAGCAGGAAATAAGCCGACAATACTAAGCCCAAAATAAAATGATATAGTGGAAAAATTTGAACTAAAAAAATAGCGCCACATTCTTTGAATCACACAAAAGCATGTAAATATATTTAGGCATTTTAAATGACGTAAAATAAGTTAACAAAATCGATGTAGCATAAACTGGACCCATTAAAGCAAAACATAATAAAAATATAAATATACAGAACCAGAGTTTATAAAGTTAGAAGCAACAGAACGACTCTCAATTATAGTTAAAACTGCTCAAATGAGAAAAAATTGATGCTTTGACCAAACTCTCTGCTTTGTACAGTAGACCGACCGAAGATAACCTTTATGTTCCGAAAAAATACATACATAGATACATGGTGGAAAAGACAATAATTTCCGTCAGGTATTCAATCCCGTGACCTGTGGCTGTAAAAAAAGTCGTTTACGGGAAAAAATCTGGTTCCCGAAAACTTGCTCTCGCAAGTGAAACTTAACAAAAAAAAGTTTTTTGGAAAAAAAAGTTACAGGAAGACATGAAGAGACCAAAACAACAAACAATGATTTCTAACTTTCGAAACCTCTCTTGTTTCAAATAAAACTAGATTGATGACAAAAACGAAATCGCAATGCAATTATGAAAAAAAAAACGTCAAGCTCAAAAAATCTGGCTTGAAAAATTCCATAATAAAACAGAGGCGAAGCGGAGCTTCACACCAATTGCGATACAACATACAAAAAACAGAAGTCAAAAAATGTCTCAATAGGAGTTCAATCTAGGCAAACATGTCAGACATTTGAAAAATAAATTAGCAACGAAAGAAAATTTACGCAGAGGAAACAAAGCCGACAATCATTGAGCAGACACAAGTTGAGCCAAAAAAAAATGATTTCACAGAAAAAAACTTTCAGGTTTAAAGTCCCAACCGAATCAAAAAGAAGCAACAAATGCTCTTATGAAAACAATGAGAGATGCTAACAGCGCAAGAAAATTATTATGTGGCAACTAAGCCGACAATATTTGAGCAAACACCATTTGAACCGGAAAAATTTTTTTTTTGCATTTTTTTTAAAAAATATTTCAAGTCCCCCTAAACTAGAATGAACAGAATTTGCAACGACTAAAATCACAAGTTAAGATCGGTTAAAAAATCACAGTCAATATCATTTGGAAAAAAAAAACAGCAGAAACTTTGCAGCAAGCGGAATGGAGCCGAAAATTTTTGCAGAAAACTACTAAGCCGAACAAAAACAGTTGAAAAATCATATTTTAAATTATCGCAGTGGTAATCAAAAGTGGCATTTTTTTTAGGTAAAACCACTTAGAACCCTTGACACGTTTGCTACACTCGCACTTTCATTTAAAAACAAAACACTGTAAACATCATCAATGTCTGACAAAAACTCAGAAATTAACCCCATTAAATTTAGCATTTGTGCGGATCGAGACTTCCTGAACGTTAAAAAAATCCCAGAAAAATATGACTACCGAAAAAACCTGGAGAGTTAACGTTTTAAATGATCTTTATAAAAAATGACATTTTTACCTTCACAGATCCATTTCAAGGAAAACAGCAAAAGTAACGAGCCAAAAGTTATGAAGATTAAGAAAACTTTAAAGGACCAAACAAGGCGCCGGATAAGGTGAGAGTCGCACAGAATGTTCCGACCACAGTATTAAAAAATACAGCTGTTTTCTCAAATTGGTGTCGTTGCTATTCTGCAAGTTGTGATTTAAAAAATCTGAACTAAAAAAAGCAGTACTTAGGCATTTTAGAGAGTCATAGTAAAATAGGTCAATTAAAAAACAGTTTTTGAAGAAAAATGACTGGAAAAACGAAAAAAATATATTGAAAATTCCAAACATTTTTTCAAAAATTTTTGCATAACTAAGTTTTCATGGCTTACATTAAGCTATTCTAATTACTAATTACCTTACTAATTAGCTGAATTAGACCAAAAACCAAAAATTTCCAACCGGTTTTTCTCGACACTGTGAAACTTTTTTTGAAACTTTTTTATTGTCATTCGAATTACAAACTGAAAGGGCTTTAATATGATATATCACTCAACCATGTTCGATGATTATTTGTGGTAGCTGATTTTAAGTGGAAAATCAAAAAGCAAAAAATTAAAACATACGAATACAAAGTTCCTCTCCATTTCAATGGTCAGAAGAAAAACTAAAGCACACCCGACTACAAAGAACCTCCCCATTTTCAATTGTCGGAACAAAAACAAGCCAAGAGAATTACAGTAGAAAACCAGAAAGCAAACAAATTATTGAAAACAAGTTCATCATTTTATTTATCATTAAATGAACTCTTAACAAAACCCTAGAGAAAGCTGCTTTAATCCCGCTTTAATATTCTTTAGATTGATTTTACAGCGATTGACGCAACGAACGATTTTTAGTATACTACGAGAAAAAAAAACAAGTATCAATACTTGAACATTTTCCTCAATTAAGACATCATCAGAAAAACTGAAAGAAAAAACAACAAACATCGTAAACAATAAAAAATAAACACATAACATCAGAGAATAAAAAAGCAATTTGAATTAGTATACTAAACATCCTGTTGATAATTTAATGCTGATGATACGGGTCTTTCCTATTTTTGTGCCCTGCCATACATGATTGTATGATCACTGTGCAAGTGTTTAAAAAATAATATTACCCTTGTGGACAAAATTCAAGATTTTACACTGTAAAATGCCTGTTTTCAATGTATACTAGCGTTTTATTAAGACATCATCAGAACAACTGAAAGAAAAAACAACAAACATCGTAAACAATTAAAAAAACACATAAAATCAGAGAATAAAAAAGCAATTTGAATTAGTATACTATACATTCTGTTGATAATTTAATGCTGATGATGCGGGTCTTTCCTATTTTGTCCCCTGCCATACATGATTGAATGATCACTGTGTAAGTGTCTTAAAAAATTAATATTGCACTAGTGGACAAAATTCAAGATTTTACACTGTAAAATGCCTGTTTTCAATGTATACTAGCGTTTTATTAAGACATCATCAGAACAACTGGAAGAAAAAACAACAAACATCGTAAGCAATAAAAAAAACCACATAAAATCAGAGAATAAAAAAGCAATTTGAATTAATATACTATACATCCTGTTGATAATTTAATGCTGATGATGCGGGTCTTTCCTATTTTTGTCCCCTGCCTTACATGATTGAATGATCACTGTGCACGTGTCTTAAAAAATTAATATTGCACTAGTGGACAAAAATTCAAGATTTTACAATGTAAAATGCCTGTTTTCAATGTATACTAGCGTTTTACGCACATGCTGTTTCCCGAAAAATACTGAAAAAATCATAATAATCTTCTTATTTTGGCAACTAAAAGAATTTGAGCATTCACATTCAGAGGCAAGATTTGAGACACCTGGGTGTACGCTGACAATAAGGTTGTGTGTTCATCAAGTTAGCAGTTTCAAATTTTGTGAATTTCTTTGTAGATAAGTTCTTTGAGAAATTTCAAATAAAAAAAAAAAAATATCTCGAAAACTACAAAGATTTGAGCAATCATATTTGGAGGTAAGATTTGCAATTCTTGTGAGTACTCTAACAGGATCCAACTACAGGGTTGAGAATTTCATATTGTAAAAAAAAAAATTAATTCAAAATTTTTGAAATATTTAAAAAAATAATAAAAAACGTCATATCTCGAAAACTACAAAGAATTGATCAGACATATTAGGAGGCAAGATTCGCAATACTTGCGAGTATTCTGACAGGACCCAACTACAGGGTTGAGAATTTCAGATAGTGAAAAAAAAAATCAAAAATTCTGAAAATTTTTTGAAAAAACAAAAAACGTCATCCCTCGAAAACTACAAGGTTTTGAACAGTCGCATTTGGAGGTAAGATTTTCAGCTCCTTAGAGTATCCTGACAGCACCCAACTACAGGGTTGGGAATTTCAGAAATTCAAAAAAAATTAAATTAATTTTTCTGAATTTTTTTGAAAAAATCACAAAAAACGTCATATTTCGAAAACTCCAAAGAAATGAGCAGTCATATTTGGTGGCAAGATTCGAAGTCCTTGCGAGTACCCTGATAGGACCCAACTACAGAGTTGAGAATTTAGAATTTCAGATTGTGAAAAAAAATATAATCAAACTTTCTGAAATTTTTTTTGAAAAAACAAAAACGTCATATCTCGAAAACTACAAAGATTTGAACAATCATACTTGGAGGGAAGATTTGCAACTCCTTAGAGAACCCCGACAGCACCCAACTACAGGGTTGAGAACTTCAAATTTTGAAAAATATTTAAGTTAAATTTTCTGAAAATTTTTGAAAAATCACAGAAAACGTCATATTTCGAAAACTAAAAAAGAATTGAGCAGTCATATTTGGAGGCAAGATTCGCAATGCTTGCGAGTACTCTGACAGGACCTAACTACAGAGTTGAGAATTTCAGATTGTGAAAAAAATAAATGCAAATTTTCTGAAATTTTTTTTGAAAAAACAAACGTCATATCTCAAAAACTACAAGGGTTTGAACAGTCGCATTTCGAGGTAAGATTTGCAGCTCCTGATAGTACCCTGACAGCACCCAACTACAGGGTTGGGAATTTCGAAATTTCAAAAAATAATAATTTAATTTTTCGGAAATTTTTTTGAAAAAATCACAAAAAACGTCATATCTCGAAAACTACAAGAATTTGAACAGTCATATTTGGAGGCAAGATTCGCAATGCTTGCGAGTACTCTAACAGGATCCAACTACAGGGTTGAGAATTTCATATTGTGAAAAAAAAATTAACTCAAAATTTCTGAAATACATAAAAAAAAACTTCATATCTCGAAAACTACAAGGGTTTGACAGTCGGATTTGGAGGTAAGATTTGCAGCTCCTTAGAGTATCCTGACAGCACCCAACTACAGGGTTGGGAATTTCGTAATTTCAAAAAATAATAATTTAATTTTTCGGAAATTTTTTTGAAATAATCACAAAAAACGTCATATCTCGAAAACTACAAGAATTTGAACAGTCATATTTGGAGGCAAGATTCGCAATGCTTGCGAGTACTCTAACAGGATCCAACTACAGGGTTGAGAATTTCAAATAATGAAAAAAAATTCAAATATTCTGAAAATTTTTTGAAAAAACAAAAAACGTCATATCTCGAAAACTACAAGGTTTTAAACAGTCGCATTTGGAGGTAAGATTTTCAGCTCCTTAGAGTATCCTGACAGCACCCAACTACAGGGTTGGGAATTTCAGAATTTCAAAAAAAAATTAAATTAATTTTTCTGAAATTTTTTTTGAAAAAATCACAAAAAACGTCATATTTCGAAAACTAAAAAGAATTGAGCAGTCATATTTGGAGGCAAGATTCGCAATCCTTGCGAGTACCCTGATTGGACCGAACTACAGAGTTGAGAATTTAGAATTTCAGATTGTGAAAAAAAATATAATCAAACTTTCTGAAAATTTTTTTGAAAAAACAAAAACTTCATATCTCAAAAACTACAAGGATTTGAACAGTCATATTTGGAGAGAAGATTTGCAACTCCTCAGAGAACCCCAACAGCACCCAACTACAGGGTTGAGAACTTCATATTTTGAAAAATATTTAAGTTAAATTTTCTGAAAATTTTTGAAAAATCACAAAAAACGTCATATTTCGAAAACTAAAAAGAATTGAGCAGTCATATTTGGAGGCAAGATTCGCAATGCTTGCGAGTACTCTGACAGGACCCAACTACAGAGTTGAGAATTTCAGATTGTGAAAAAAAAATTAATGCAACTTCTCTGAAAATTTTTTGAAAAAACAAACGTCATATCTCAAAAACTACAAGCGTTTGAACAGTCGCATTTCGAGGTAAGATTTGCAGCTCCTTAGAGTATCCTGACAGCACCCAACTACAGGGTTGGGAATTTCGAAATTTCAAAAAAAAATTAATTTAATTTTTCGGAAATTTTATGAAAAAATCACTACAGGGTTGGGAATTTCAGATTTGCAAAAAAAACTAATTATATAAGTTTTCTGAATTTTTTTTGAAAAAATCACAAAAAACGTCATATCTCGAAAACTATAATGATTTGAACAGTCATATTTGGATGGAAGATTTGCAACTCCTTAGAGAACCCTGACAGCACCCAACTACAGGGTTGGGAACTTCGAATTCGCAACCCCTTGGGGAATCCGGACAGCATCCCAATTTTTGGGCTGTTTATTTTAAACTCGGTGAAATAACCACTAAAATCAAACTGGAAAATCGAAAAATAATCTTAACCATTGCAATATACGATATAGCTTAACCGTGCAAAAACTCTTTCGTTAAACATGCAAAAATAATACGTTGAAAAAGCTTAAGCATGGCGAAATAGTGAAGCCCGCATTTAAATTTTGTATAGATAGATGGATTTTGGACAGCGTTTCCTTCAAAATTCAGTAAATAATTTCATTCACCGAGAGCAAATGATCACAGCTACTATCTGTGAAAATATCATCATTTGGTTTTTAGACTTACCAATGTAATCCGGGTCTAAAAATGCCAGTTTTCCTTGTCTCAACTAGTTTTACTCATGTCTTTACTTCGCGTGTTTCCATTTTCTCGCTGAGAAAGTTTCACATTGCATCAACAAACTTTTTACTCAGCTTATTCCAGAAAGATTTCACTATGATGCACAACTTAGTGCAGAGCAGGAAAACTGGCATGGTCAGACCCGGATTACAGTCGTAAGTCATTTGAAACCAAATGTTGATACTTTCTCAGATGGTAGCTCTGATCATTTGCTCTCGGTCGATGTAAAAACTTTATTGAACTTCGAAGGAAATGTCCATAATTTACATTGAAAACAAGCATTTTTAAGAAAACAATCCTGAATTTGCGCTTAATTTTGTCCACTAGTGTAGGTTGTGGATCTTGATTGGAAAGACTCGATGATGTTTTCAGATCGTGAAACTTTCGATACTTAGAAGGATATATCGTAACCTACAATGTTCTACGAGTATAAAAGCTTCCAGAAAACTGCGAAACACTTACCTAGGAAAATAGTACAACCAGTTGGTTCTCTCTGTATAGGATTAGACTTTTGCTTCTCAATTTGATCTTCCGTCAGATCCGAATTTGTTTTACATTCCAACATTTTTTCTACTTCTTTGATAGCAAGCCCGAATGATGTCGACTGAAAACCAGTTGTCAACGAGTACGTTGAAAGTAATTTGTCGTAATCAACCTGATGCGAACTGTCAAAATTGTAGCCACACACTACCAGATTTGTTTCATCAAGAGAAACGCGACTTTTAGTTAAAATAGCACCACGCAGGGATTCTGGTAATTTACCCATGAAATTGTCGACCATTGTCCCCTTAAAAAATGTTCGTAGTATTCAAAAAAAAATGTCCACTTTCCGTCATTATTTTCGAACTGAGTACACAGTTCTCGATGATTTTGCGTCTGTCGTTAACCAATATAATCAGAAGGTCTAAAGTATCACAGTAACCGAGGTTACAGTCAGTCCCTTCATCACAGTGATCAGTCAGAATCCTAGGATTTTTCTAGATAAGGAAAAGAAAATTATAAACACGAGATGATTAGTGTTGATTTTTTTAAAAATTAAACTCGATACGGGTTACGTTTCTTCGATAAGAACACGCAACTCGACACGAGATAATATGTATTGCGTTACAAATGAAAAAAACGACGAAAGTTGAATTGTCATTTATTGTGCCGTGTACGCAAGTCGCAATCTGTATTGCCAGGGAGATTCTCTGCTTAAGAAAACTACCTGCCCTGGGTTCCTCGGTACACGTGCACAAGTTCCTACAAAGTACACATGCACTTTTAGAGAGTTGCAAAAAGTTCGGTCAGACAAAATTAATTCAAAAAAGGAACCATTTAGACATCAACGGAAATTAAAACTGAAATAAACATAACGTCGCAAGTTCATAAAGCAGAGTTACGGAATTTACTTAACAATCCCCCTTTCGAGAAAGGGGAGAGATCGTTAAAAAGATTACTTGCAGCGAACTTTCGACCAATCAGAGTGCAGCAAAAACCGAATTTACATACAATTCCTTTGTCCGAATTTACTGTTTTTATTTACAGGGGTGGAGATTATTTAGTAGTTACAATAGGGGGAGGGGGGATTGGTAAGTAGATCCGAGTTTCGCTCAAAACCTATAACCACAGAGGGCAATTGCATCCGAAACGTCGAAATATTTTATAGTAAAATCTGGATGTTCATAGCAGTATTTAAAAAGTAGGCTAGCATAATTATCGGATAATCGACGATCTCGCATTTTGAAATTGGTCTGACAAAAAATTCAAAGTTGTTCGGCTCCTGTGACATTCGACCAGAATGGCCAAAATGCAATCTCTACAGAATTCGGAATTTTAGCAGTAAGCCTTCCGGATTGGTGGTTTTTAAGAACTAAGGGCGTTATTGGAACGTTTAGCCAAACGGTGAGGGCTAGAATATTCTAGTATTTTAAAATTTCAAAAATTCGAATGATGACGTCACATTTCTGAGAAATGCTGAAACGGCCATTTTAACAAAAAACGAGAGAAGAAACACAACAACAACATTAGTTGCGCTGACGAGAACAACTTTATCGAAATTGAAGAAATCGAAATTGAAGAAAACGACAACGAATAGCAGAGGACGTTCCGAGTAGCAACTATTGTGCTGCTACAATAGTTGCAAGGCCGTTGCGAGCAACGGTGAAGGGTAAGAGACAGCCTTCCGTGTTATTGTGAAATCGAACTTAAGGAGCTTGATTCACCGGATTCAAGAATCCGGAAGGGTCTCGGGACTGAAACTTTTAATCTATTATATGAACTTTTAGCATCCTGTCATGTCCTGACTTGAATTTAATTGATATTTGGATTAGTTTTGACAAGGATGAGGTGCTAAGAGTTGGGGGGAAAGGGTTGATCCATCTTCGATGGAGATGATGATTTTTATCTACTGAACAAAAACAATAGTAATATAATAAGTAGTAGCCCTGTTTTTAGGAGTGACCTCGTGGTCTGGGGATACTGAGACCCAGCCATGAGCTCACTATTTGCATGTAATTAAGTTAATTTGAGCGTTCTGGTTGAAGCCGGAGAACAGTAACGTTTTTGTCGACCCGATGTTGGAAAGACCACCGAAAAGTACTGGCTTGGTAGAGACGGTGAAAAGCATGCAAAGCTCTGTTTAGACGCTAGCCAGTCGTCTTAAGACTTAGTTTTGTTATCCGTCGATATGTATCTTCCGGGCGAATGTTACATACATGTTTTTATGGCGCTCCTGGGTGTTATTCTTTTTAACATCATGACCGGCAGAACCGTTGACGAGCACTCCGCGCCGAGCGGATGCTCACATTAACGCCCTTATTAGGCCTAAACCGCCGTGGCGGAAGGGTGGTTCGGAGCGCGGAAGCCCTCCGGATTACCGTGAATAGCTTTTTAACTTAGTTAAGACCGAAAATTCACGAACCAGGAAGGGTGGGGGGATCGGCCATTCCCTCATCCCCTGAGTGGTTTGTGACCAAAAACACTTAAAGATATAAGTAAAACCAAACAAAAAGTAGTATAGTACCCAAGAAAAACAAAAACATAAAAAAATTGCCGAAAAAACCAAAAACAGTACAAAAGTAAAAAAAATCAGTAGAAATCATCCCCCCAGACAAGATGTGATACGACCCCCCCGTTTGTTGTTGATAGATATATTGTTGTTACAGGCATTTATATCAGTCAGGATCGTTACGATCAGTTTTGTAGCCCGTTTGTGAGGCTTGTACTGTAGGGTTATTTGAGCATTTAAGCACGTTAATGATAAATTGCGCTCAATCCGGAAGGGTCAGCTGATTTGCGCTCAATTCGGAAGGGTCTTGGGTGAAGACCGATCCGGCAAGCAGTACAAGGAGCAACAAGAAGGGGCTCAACGACAACAACAATTGACTGTTGGGTATCGTTAACAAGTTTTGTATCTGTGCCATTCTGCCAGATGACACAGCATAACCTTCCCGCGACAGAAATAAAAGTGACTAAAGGCCTTATGAACAGAAAAGTGTTGCGACGGAGGGTCAGAATGTTCTAGAATTTTTATTTTTAAAATTTCGATCGGAAGAAGAACATTTCTGAGAAATAGAAAAAAGACGGCCATTTTGAATAAAAAAGACGAAAATCAGAACAACGATAGAAATTGTGAAGAACGGTTGTATCAGAGACAGAAAAACACGGAGCCTCTTATCGTGGCAATAACACACGATAAGGACCTTAGTGACAGATATTTGTGGAGACGGAGGCTTCAGTGGGGGGAAGAGAAATACCACGGAACCCTCCCGGGACACGAAATATAGGAGATAAGAGTGTTATCTCAAGAAAATCACGGGAGCGGAGGCTTGGTCCCCCAGAGACTGTTATATGTGAAGGGACTGTGAAAACTGACTATAACAGCTGCTGTAATGTCCTAGATCGTAATTAACACCGTTATTATTTAATATTTCAGAGCATGAGTAGATAGAAAAAGGAAAGGGTCAATCCATCTCCAATGGATTTAATATAAAACTGTCACACAAAAACATATAAAAATAGGTTGTTCGAGCCGTGTTTTTAATGACAATCACGTAGTCTGAGGATCCGAGACTCAGCTATGTGGTTGTGTTCGCATGCAAACGAAAGCTGATCAAAAGTCGTTTGACTGATGGCCTAAAAATGGTAACTTTTTACTTTGCCCTAAACAGACCAGAAAATCAACTGGCAAGGTCGAGACGGTGAAAAACGAGTAGAATTAAGGTAATTGACGCCTGCCAGTCGTTGATAGGTACTTTTTCTACGCTCCGTCGCTGTGTGATATTTGGGCGAATGTTACATAGACGTTTTTATGGCGCTCCTGGGTGGGCCTGTTAAAGGCATGAAACCATCATGATCAGCAAGCGTTTCAGCGACGTACCCTCCGCTCCGGGCGTATGCCCGAGTTAGAGGCCTTAATGACCGTTATTGTACTAGGGGGAAGGTGCGTACCCTCCGTCTAGTGCAATTTAGCTTTTTAACTTAGTTAACACCGAAAATTCCGGGGGCCGGAGGGTTAGGTGGGAAATCTAGAGCCCGCTTGTCCTGAGGTCCCAGGACCAGAAACAATTAAAGAGAAAGCGTAAAACCAAACAAAAATAGTGTATAACCAAGAAAAAGCCAAAAATAAATTTATTTAAAAACAAAAAAGTACAAAAAAAAAAAAAAATCCAAAAAAGACCAAAAACAGTAAAAAACATAAAGTGACAGTTTATATGTTATTTCCGGACGAGATGTGATCTGACCTTCCTATTTGTTGTTGTTTCAGATTGATTTATATCGTTTCTGATAGAGAGATTGTGTGTTTTGGTGAAGGGTTGGGTACCCTCCCTCGAGTGTAATTTGAGTGTTTAAGCACGTTAATGGTGATTTTGCCGGTGACCGGAGGGTAGAGTGGCAGGCTGATCAACGTGTTCCACACTCAACAGGGACATCAAGGACAACATCCGCAACGACTGTTGGGTATCGTTGAAGCAATTTTAGTATCGTTCGGGTACTATTTCCTTAAAACTTAAGTGGTGGGGGGCACGATTGGCGCGGTCCGATTGTACCCTCCATCGATTACAAATTTCCGAGTTAAGGGTCTTAATTCGAATATTTTGGTGCAAAGGAGGGTATAGTACTATTTATTAACGACTATTTATAGATTATTGTCCTTACTATATATTACTTATCTCCTATTTAGACCCAAGAAACACCCATTTTTTGTCGAAAATTACCAATTTTCGACCAAACTGTAGACCCCCAAATTTTCGGATATCCGAGCTTTTCCGATAGGCAAAAAGCTTTTATATAGAGAGTAGCCACGTAGTTCGATCCCCTTTATTAAAGAAACCGCGTGAGCAAAGATTCAGTGGAAGTTAGAAAAACGAGAATTTTTCGACCAAAATTTTGATAATTTTCTGTATTTTGTCAATCTGTTTTGGGGATCGAGTTTTTGAGTTTTTAGAGTTAGAGCAATAAAATTTTTGCGTTAGGAGCGTGCTAGCATAACGTGCTCGGTTACTAGAGAAATTTTTGGGTAACCCTCCGAGTAGCTCCGTGGATAGAGCTAACGACTTAAGGTTTGGAAAAGGAAGGAATCGGAGGGTCCAAATTTGATAGTTTTTGGCCAAATTTTTGTTTCTAAACCAATTTTGGTCCGGTTTTTTGCATTATTCCAGTGCCGTACAGGGCTACTACGCTCATTTCAAGTATTTTTAGGCACTTTCGACCGGAATTGCGAAAAAAGTCTTTCAGATCCTATACAGGTGGTGAAAAAGGCCATTTTGACGAACGCGTTTTTGGCGATTTCTCAAAGACTAGTTATCCGATCGGGATAATTTTGGTACCATAAGTCGACGTTTTTGACCACTTTTCCGAATCGTTTTTGGGTTGATTATTTCCGAAAAGAAAAATTTTTTAGAATTTGTTGGTTCGGAGGGTCCAAGTAACGGGCAACCCTCCGAGCGGCAGAAAATTTTATCAAAACATCTTTTTATTCAACTGGGAAGGTTGACCGTGTCAGCCAACCTAGTTCTAAGTCAGGTAGACCGCTTTCAGAGGCTTTACTGCGGTGATTTAACCCTTTTTCTTGATTTTGGGGGAACCCTCCGAAGTGACCCTCCGGAGTCAGCTAAGCCCTTTAGCAACCCTCC